TGGGAATGCGGTACTCGGCTCCATAGCTGCCTCTGCAATGTGAACGAATAGTTCCTGGATCGAATTCCACCTTACGCTGACGTGTAACGGAGGCCCGGGCATGTTCAGCCGGCTGGTGTATTCATCGGGCTGACATTCCGCACGCTGTGTCGTACGGTCCAGGTCGGCCTTCAACGCAATGAAAACGCTCGGAAGCTCTTCGAGGTGGGGGTATTTCGCGCGTAATTTCGGAATATAAGCAAAGGAATCAGGGTCGGACGAATCATATGTATATGCGATGACGTCGCATTGGTCCAGCAGTTTTGTTCTATTCTCTAGTATCGCCGGCTCCAGCTCACCAAGCTCATCCAAAAGTAAGTAGCACTGTCGTCCGCCTGGAAGCTCTACCGTGTTCACAGCCGTTCGGGGCTGGATTGTAGGGCGATAAGTCGGACTGAAGCCTCGTGAGAGGAATGCGTCGAGAAGGGCAGATTTTCCCGATCCCGCCGCACCTAAAACATGACATAGAACGACATTACGTCCAACTCGTCCAGGACGCCGTCGCCGTTTCCGTGGTTTGGTAATCTTCAGTGCCGCCGTGGTTGAGGGGTTGCTACGGTCGGTAGATTCAAAGCCGAGGTACGCAAGGTACTCAAGCGTAGTTTTTGGGGACGTAAATGTGGTCATGCTCCATTGAGCCAGCCATCCCTGAAGAGTCACATGGCCAGCTTCGTTGCGCACGGTAGACGACGGAAAGGAATCATCGGTCCACGAGCTTGGAAAGCCAGGAGTAGGAGCAAATAGTGAGGCGAGCTCCGCATCGTTCAAGCCTCCGTCGTTATCCTTGTCACAAAGTAAAAATAAATCCACAAAAAACCGATAGCCGGCAGGCGAGAGTTCCGCCGAAGCGAAGGGGGGAACTTCAAGGCGTGGATGTAGAAAATCTTCTTGGAGTGACAAATTATCGGTGTATTGAAACGCCCTGAGTATAATCCAGACAGTTTCATGGCGGCCTTTTTCCACGTATAACTTGTTAAGATGCAAAAATCCTTGAGAATCTATTCCCGACGGAGTCACCGACTGCGGGTATGTCCTTCGTATCGTTTCTTTGATGTGCTCGAGGTCATCGTCGTTCAGCGGCTTCCCAAAGCACTTTATCTGGAAATCATCAATTTCTTTATCGCTCAGGTAGCCGTTGTGGTCTTTGTCGCACAGGTAGAAAATACGCTGGAGTGCATTCACGGCCGCTGGTTTCAGCACGGCCTCTTTTGAGTCGAAGAGAGGAGCTATAGGATAGGTGACAGCTTTTTGACAGAGGAAGAAAGCCTCATTCACATTCCGATGTTCTCTGGCACTACTCCGTATGCAAGAGTCGATCTCCTTGAACTCTGTCATTATCGGCAACATTTCATCCTCGACCGTCTGCTGATCCACTCCCTCCGTTGTCAGGTCCGACTTATTGGAGCATAGCACGACTGGAACATTGACGCCCAGGGATCGAAAGTACGGCAGCCAAAACAAAGCCACCCTTTCATAGCTGTAATGATCCGAATAGACCAACAGGATCACGTTGGATTTGCGGAGTTCCTTTGCAAGGTTGCTTCTTTCCTGTGGTAACGCTGAGGTATCGACGATGGTGGTGGTGGTTACACTTTCGGGCGTGCCGATTGTCGGTGGAATCGTTACCTGAGGAAGCACTGGTTGTATCTTATTTGTTACGAAAACGCCCTTGACGAGAGAAGTTATCAAGCTGGACTTTCCGGTCCCTTCGTCACCGCAGACACATATTCGCACTGTCGATGAACCTTGGTCAGCTTTGCAGACGAACACACGGCGTTTTCTTTTTTTCTTTTTTTTCTTTTTTTTTAACTTACCAGTGCCCATTTTGCATTAGTTGAAGCACACAATGACTTCCCATCGGGTAGTATCTTGGAATCCGCGTGCTGTCTTCCAGCGGGACACGGAGTTGCCTTACAGTTCCGCTTTGGGAGCTCCGGTTCCGTCGGGAACCTGACCTCACCTGCAGCTTCAGCGCGGAAAAACAAAACACCCGGTAACTAACTAACTGGTTACCTAACTAGTTAAGCAGCCACCGTGACCCACGCGGGCCACGGCAAGCGAAGGCGCAACGATAGGGGCTGACGTAATCATGGGGACAAGATGGCAGTTTGCTATTGGCCAACCCCAATGCGCAGCCACGGCCAAAGCGGGCTTTCCCCACAGGATGTGTTGAGTGCCGGCAAAGTCCAGGCTGGATGTTTCCGTCATCTTCCACTGCTGTTGGATACGAAGAGCGCTGCCGGTTTTGAGCATTCGTTCTACGCCGCAAGACTGCCGCTGCCAACGCCGAAGGCTGATTTCATTTCTCTTGGATTTTATTTGCCGCCTGACCGATTGGTTATATCCTCCTTGCATACCATTTACGGGAATCTCCACGGTCCATTGAGACCGGAGGTCCGGCATCGACGATGCCGCTGGGAATCCACAATCCGCTGCCCTCGTCTATGAGGAGTATGTTTCTCTTTGATATTTTCGTGATGCTCATCGTTGCTAAAACCGTGGAAAACAGGCGAATGCAGGAAAGCTGGCAAGATCCTAGCTTCATTTGTCGATCCCCGCCAGGCGTTCGGGCCAGATAAGATCATTCCGCCACAAATCTTAGCAAATGCAAAGGTTTGAGATAATCTTGAATCTAGGTGGCTTCGAGTGTTAATTCCCTTTTATTGTGGCGATATTAACTGTCATGTTTTGCGGTAGGGCCTCGCTATCATAACTGTCTTGAAAGCGGGGTTCATAGGCTCCGGCCGATTCGGCTCTGGTGTGGTGGTTGCACGCCTTTCTGATGGCAGTTGGTCTGCTCCTTCTGCAATCGCAACTGCCGGAGCAGGTGTTGGTGGCCAGATCGGGTTTGAATTGACGGATTTCGTTTTTATCCTCAACGATTATGCCGCTGTACGCACCTTTTCCCAACTCGGATCGATCACACTCGGAGGCAACGTTTCCATTGCCGCAGGGCCCATTGGTAGGAATGCAGAAGCAGCAGGAGCAGCCAGCGCCAAAGGCGTAGCTGGCATATTTTCTTATTCAAAAACAAAGGGCTTGTTCGCCGGTGTGAGTCTGGAAGGAAGTGTCTTGGTTGAGCGGAGAGATGCCAACTCGAAGCTCTATAATGCCAGGGTAACTGCGAGTCAATTGCTTGGAGGAAGCATACCCCCTCCCCCAGGCGCAGAACCTCTTATGAGAGTCCTGCAGTCTCGAGCATTTTCTGGCGCAAATGCATATTCCGACACAATGTATAATGATATCCCCGTTTATGAAGATCGCCATGACGACGTCGTCTGGGAAGGAAGAAGAGGCGACGCCTTTGGCGAAGGTATCCCTCGTAATCGATCAGCGTCCATGAACGATGAATATGAATATCATGACAGACCAGCAAGGGCAAATACATGGGCTGATGAGGTTTACGATCGCCAGCCTACTGGACGCCTAGGCCGAACCTACAGCACCATGGCTGGCCCAAATGACCATTTCTCCAGTCGCGGTCGCAGTTTTACTGCGGGTCCCTACGGGGGTGATTATGTGTACCGCAACAAGAAGCCAGCCCGCCCAACAGCACCGAAACCCGTGTTTGGGAATAAGCCATCCCAGCCTGCTCTCCAAAAGAATCAGGCCATCGCTTTGTTTACGTTTGATCCCGATCAAGAAGGGGACTTGGGATTTAAAAAAGGGGACGTCATCACGATTTTGAAGCGAACGGATAAAAAGGAGGATTGGTGGACTGGAAGGATAGGAGATAGAACTGGGGTCTTCCCAAGGTAATATTTCCCCTAGTATCTGTATGCATCTTGATACAGGCACTTTTAATAGCCCATTTTCTGACGCCATGTCACTATCAGCAATTATGTGGATGTCATGGATTAAGTGGCAGCTTCTCGTGCTGCCTTCGCCGATTATCGCGCCTGCCTCGGCCTACAGCGTCGGAGTTCGAGAGAAGACGGGTATATTCATGAGCAATGAAATTTCCGGGATCATATTCGTTTGATATTCGATGCGGGACATTAACTCACACCATTTCGCTTCTCATCTCGATGCATCTTTCATCTTGGAAAGCTTGGCGTTACTTTATTCTATTCTACTTTCCCATCTATTACTCTTGATGTAACTAGCTGCTTTTTTTTGTATCTGCTGATGATTCTCTGTATTTCATAACAAATTGGCTCTCTGTATTTAAGAGTTGGTTAAGTAGCATATGGGCTTGTTTAGCAGAAGAATTACATTCTTTGTCTATATTTCTCACTCATCATGTCTTGGACTCGATATACCGTTTAGGACATATAGGGAACCTATCTTCTCAGTAGCGTGGCCGCATGGATGACAGTCAATTGCCACTAGGGTATTCTGCGATATCAAACCTTCTCCTTTGGGATCGATGGCCTGGAAAGTAGGAGAAACGAGGCATTAATAGAAACGGCACAGCATCCTAACATTCGATATTATTGTTTAGCCAGTCAGGGATCGTAACGCAAGACGGCATCCAACAGCCCCCGGATGCTAGTAACCGACTATCTCCCGACAAGGCAAGGCAGGCAGGATGACAGCACTCAAGGAATACTTTATGCATTCCGGTCCAAATGCATGGGCTGTAGAATTAGAGATGATGCTTTAGCTAGTTATTTGGTTTGATTATTTGGCCGTTGGAAACGATCACCGGCGATCAGTCAACCCGTTTCAAACGGGTTTGCGCTGCTCTCCTCAGATCATGTAGTGTGCAGACATGTCATTCGGGAGATTGCTCCAGTGATCATGGTGGGAATTTAGATCTGATCATGCGGTGATTTCTTTGGTTAATGGCAGCCACATGTGGATCATGAAGTTACGGTGAGCCTCTTAGGTGGAATCTGGATGTTTGGGGATTTTCTCTTTCGCTGCCATTCTGTGCAGATATTGGCGAAGATTATCAGACGAAAGCAGTGGAGCAAACCTGTAGCTCGCTCATGATTCCAGACCCCAGAGGCATATAACTATTGGTTGGTTGTACATGATTTTTCTGTCGCATCCGACCATTCGGCAGTGATTTTGTGAATCAGACCAAGGGGAGTGGTCAGGCCCTGTTTTATGGAACCATCCCAGAAGTTACCTCTCATTGCTCCGTAGTTTAACCTCGTTTCTTCCTCAAGGTTCACACCCAAGAACAGGGACCATCTCAGCACATCTACCTTGAGTCTGTGCAAGCAGATGAACCAAAGGGGTGCTTCAAGCGTGTTCACAACCATTCCACTAGCTTCTGTTGCGCTCATGTGCCACCTTCACCCAGCATTCGTCCGTGCATTGTAATTTGCGCTGGCCAACAATCCATCTTCACCTAGTACCACCACTATCCAACCCAAGATCCCAGCCCGCACCCCCAGTCAAGAGGCCCCCTTGCCATTCACTGCGCTTGCGATCACTCAAGAACTCCTCTCCCAGCAGGACACAACCACGGCTTTTTTGACGCTTCTCTTTTCCTACTGTGTGTCCGACCGTCATCCTCCCTCTTGCCTCCTTTCACTCACTTTTGCCTGATGGGTGAGCGAGGCCCGCCTCCGTAACCGACTGCCCTACGATTTGGTTGACGCTTCGATGCCACTCTATTTTGCTACTACGCATTTCCGGCGGTTTATCCCCAGAAAGGCTTACGCTCCGCGCTTGAGTTTGTCGACACTCCCTGAGATCGCGCAGCCAGACGCTACACTTTCCTCATGATGCAGGTACGTCAGATGGTGGACTTGAATTTGGTTCTGAGCGCAATGTGTCTATGGAAGAGCGGCCTGCCAAACAAAAGACTGTTTATTTTAAAAGGATGGCTGGTTAGGAGCCGTTGGGCCATGCCGTACTGCACACCTCGGTTCCGTTCTCACACCCGAATAGATCCCCCTCACCCCGATCAGCTCTCTCGGATCTAAGCTGTTTCGCTTTATGGTAGTGCTAATATTTCTTTCTCCGTGTCAAAGACCTCACTAGGTTCCCATCCACGAGACACTGGAAGAGATACATCGCGGCGGGGGCATGTTCCACAACTGTCGATCAGCGACGATAGCCACCACGTTACGGAGACCATCAGCCAAATGTACGATGACAACTACGACAAGAGGAATTCAAAGCGATTGAGTTTTGTTGCAACACAGCAGGACGAAACTATTTCTACCACTCCGATTACTAAGAACAATTCCGGACCCTCTACTTCACCGCACCAGCTACACCATCTACCTATTAGAACGAGTTCAATCGACGGGGAGAGAACAAATGGGCAGCTACGAGACCAAACGCCCCCTCGAGATGGTGCTGCACAGCGAAGTAACGGAGAGTTGTCGCCGGGGTTGAGCCGCGCTGCGGCAACGGAGACTACCACCACGAACTTCAAAGTCGACGACCTCGACTATGAATCGGACCCTGCGGCTGTCGCGCAGGAGCTAAATAACCTGGCAGCCCTCAGGAGGATGTCAATGGATATTGGGGCGCTTGACCCAGACTTACCATCTTTCAGCTCGAGTTTCAACATGCCGTCTATCGCGCCGTCCGCCTCTGCTGACGAAGATGATACCTCCAGATTGTTCTGGGTTCCAGCACGGCTCCATCCTGGAATAGCACCAAAAGAGTTTAAATCCTTTCTTGAAAGCAAGTCGGAGCAGATTAAAAGGCGATCTGGAGAGCTGTCTTTCCTGGATCCTAACCCAGGTGGGCAGCAAGGCTCAGGTGGGGAGCTGCGGAGAAAGAAGTCGATGTTGTCTAGGCAAGTAGATTCATCGAGTGTCAATAGCCGTTCCGACAGCATCAGATCCTCCCCTCCGAATTTAGAAGCACTGGCGGAAGAAGCATCGTCCGGCGCATTATTGAATAATTTTGCTGATGATCGGCCTATCCTCCCACCCGCTCCTCCTGGCCATAGCTTAAGAAGGTCGACTCGAACTACTTATAGGAAGGGTAGCTTGAAGGCAGGAGAGAGAGTTCCAAGACGGTTCCCGAGACAATCAGATTCAAATGCAGATGCTGCACGATGTGGATCTCCGCCTTCAACAGCTGATGCACCCATCCTTGGACTAACTAGAGTGTCTACTGATCCAATCCCAGTCCTTGATAGCACGATTAGCTCTTCCCGATATTCTCCAAACACAAAACTCGGAGACAATCCTGATTCTAACCGAGAGTCGCGACAAGAACGTCCAAGTCTAGGCCTTCGAACTACTTCAGCAACTCAGATGCAAGGGTCAGCTGCGCAAACGGAATCTACACCACGTCCAATCATTAAAAGCCCTGTATCTCAACATGGGTCGCCGCGAACTGAGACGTCTGCAGCAGACAAGGCTTCTCCTATTACTTCTAAACAACCCTTTATTCCGGAGCGCAAATCTTCCCATGACCCGCCACCTTCCCTTCCACCACAGATGCCTTTACCACCAGAGCCTACAGGAAACAAGTCTAGAAAGGCATCACTCAAACAAGGTAAAGATACTCCTCCGCCACTGAGCGATATCGCGGCCCATCCGTCTGCGCTGCCTGGGAATAGCACAAGAACAGATAGCTTATCAATCATACCTACTATAGCAGAAGACAAAAAACCGGACAAAAAGTCAAAGGAGAAGAAAGATTCCGAGGGTGGTCGAAAATCGAGCTGGCACTGGCGACGAAGCACAGACGACAAAGATAAGAAGAAGGACGATGATGGAAAGAAACATAAGTCCAAATCGAGCAAGTCGGGCGATAGAATGCATGATAACACCCGTCTTGACGTTCTGCAGACATCTATTGATGGAGGTACCAAAGGCCGAGAAAGTCTGGTGCTTGATCGTTCGGAGGTCAAAATGGACGAGGACCGGCGAAAAGATCGGAGATCCGAGAGCGGCGAGGTCAAGAAGGAAAAGGAATCCAGCCTCTTCTCGTCAATATTCGGAAGTAAGAAGAAAGGGAGTGACAGTCACAGGAAACTCTCGCGGAATCTGTCTCCAGAACCGCGTGTGCGGGAACTCCGAGCCGATATCGATTACAACTGGACCCGATTCTCTCTTCTCCAAGAACGAGCTATATACCGTATGGCCCATATCAAGCTTGCGAACCCACGGCGTGCACTGTACTCACAAGTCCTTTTGAGCAATTTTATGTATTCCTATCTTGCAAAAGTACAACAAATGCACCCGCATATGGCTTTACCTACGTCGCCGGCACAGAACCAGCAGCGGAAGAAGGAACAGCATCAACAACAACAACAACAACAACACCAGCCCCAACACCAGCATACTGATGAGTATTCTCAGTACCAAGGATATCAGGTAAGTAGCGTCTTCGAGCGATTTCGTCTTCCCATCGAATTTTTCACTCTGACCCGCAAGTTCAGGAACAGGATCACTATGGCGATCATTCAGGCTACACACATGATGACCAAATGTATTATGACGTGGATGGAAACGGCAGTCCCAGAAACAACCAAAGTTATGATTCCGGAAGAGCGTGGGGACCCGAGCATGGTCCGCGTGCTACTTCAGGTGGAAACGATTCTCAGTTAGATGACGATGACATGTGGTGACTTTGATAGAATTTCGATCTTGCATTTCATGCAGCCGAAAAAAAAGTACTCGGTTTCTCAGGATCTTAATAGTTTATTTCTCTCGGCCTGTTTCTCGTTAAACTTACCCCGAGCAACTAATGACTGGACCTTGTCGGGCCTTTTGCGTCCCCTCCCCTCCCCCCATAACTCCTATATTATGCGTTTTCGGCCATGGGTGTCTTTAACACTCCAGTTTATGAGCCTGGAGCCAAGACCACATGAAAGTTTTCTGCACATATCACTCCGGATACCTCTGCTCCTGTTTTATTTCCCTATAGCATAGCGGGTTGTTCACGAAACTCTTTTTATTCCCCTTTGAAGGGCTTGGGAGTGGTTTTGCCGTATTACTCCTTAACCATATCCATAATTTATGTTTTTAAATCCTTTTATGATTCATCTTTGTTTCCCCAGGTTGTGCCTTTGGGGGAATATTCTTCTGGCTTTGTTTGCATGCTCTGTGATGTGGTCTGAACGTGGCTTGCAGCCCTGCGTGCCCTGCAACAACCCTTGTTGCTGTTTGGTTCTGTGTAACCCTCTTGGACACCTCTAAAAGCTTGGGATAGATGTATATATTTTATATCAAGCAAGGATAATTTATAAGTGAAAAAACTACATAGTCGCGTGCAGGTGAAGACACAGTAGCCCGATGTGCGCCGCCGCCAATCCCGAGCGATCTTGCACCTCGAAGTGCTCCGTCGTTCTAGATTTGGCGGAGAGTGCGGAGTTGGGCCAGTCTCGGCCATGAACTCTAAGCCGGAACTCCTCCCACTTGGCCGCCGACCCCGGCATGTGTGCAGATACCAGTAACGACCACCGAGACCTAAGCTGCAGGTCCCGTGCAAGCTGCCAATCCGTTCGAAATATGAAGCCACTACTATCTGCGCCTTTACATCTCAATTTCCTGTCGATTTGAGCCGGTTGTCCGAGGTAGGCCGTACCTTTATTCTGAGCTGAAGGGAGGTACCCACTTCGGAGGCAGGTTTATATCGTCATGCTATTCGTGGAGCCGCTCCCCGCAAGTTTCTCAAGAAGTATTATCCCCGCGAATTTTATTTTTTATAAATCAAGTCAATGCCACCTTGCAGCTCAGGGCCGGATAAGGGGTACAAACGGACACAATGGCTAAGGCGCGATTGAGGGGTTGGACCCCCGGGGGGATATGGCAGGCGCTGGGTATGGACAAGCACACGTTCCTCATGATGCTGAAAGGAGCGCTGCCGCCAACGATTGTGATATGCATGTATGTTTAAATGGGCTCCTCTCAGCCTTTGGCTGTTCGAAAAGAGATACTAATGAGGAATCTCGATCGGCAGGTTCCAAGCTAGCGCGGTCGCAAATCTTACGCAAAATTATGGATATATCACGCCGATAATGGCGGTCATTGCGCAGTGTCTGTTGCCTCGTGCGAAATATATGAAGATAATGCTATTTACTGCCCTGGCAACATGTGTGTCTGCGTCGTTGTGCTGCCTGGGCATCTACTGCACGATCAAGGCGAGGGAACACACCAGTCCACCGGGGGCTCCCCCAGGAGGGTATAACAGCAGCGCGAGTGCAGTGGCAGCGATTTGGTTTTTATTTGCCATTTGGTAAGAGGTTTTCTCTCTGTAAACCCTTACTCTGGATTCTTTCCCGGAACTATTTGGTACTGCTTGCAACTCTAACATGACTGTAGGGTTGCCAATTCACTGCGTGCCTGGCACCCGAATGAGCTGCAGAGCCCTATGGCCTCATTTTCCGTCTTCATTGCGGTTACCATGACCAGAGCCCCCACTATGCCAACGCTATCTTTCGGCCTGACCTACGTGAGGTTGCTGCTGATAGCGTTTTTAATCGGTTTTGCGGTTGCTACCGGAGTGTCTCTGATTATCTTTCCGACAACTAGCCGGAGTGTAATCTTTCACCAACTACGAGGCTATCCGGCTGTTGTGAAATCATTGCTTGACCAACAGATCTCATACGTCAAGTCGACTGAGAGTGACGGTCCCTGGAAAATTACCCGGATGGCAACAATCGTAAGGCGAGCGACATTGGGCTCCTTAGGTACTGGTAATGTCGACGAACATAGTGCAAAGGAGCCAGCAACAACCTTTGAATCGCCTGGCTTGAAGGCTGCCATCGGGAAAATCAGCGCTATCCATTCCTGGGTTAATGCTGAAATGCACTACGCCAAACAAGAGGTAGTTTGGGGAACGTTGTCTGCTGAAGACCTTGAAACTCTTGTTTCGTTGCTGAGGTCTCTGTTCTTGTCCTTGGCAGGTGTTGCTATGCTTCCACGTATTTTTAAGAGACTTACCAAGGCGATTCCACCACAAGGCGCGGCTACGGACGCGGGAAACCTCGAAAGTCTAAGGCAAGAAGATATCACTACCAGCCCTATAGTGGAAGATTCTCTATATGAAACACCTGAGACCACTCAGGAGCATTTCGTTCGCCCCTTGTGTGATCGCCTGGAGACCGCTAAAGCACTTGTTAACTCTGGTATACAACATGCTTTTGTCACTCTTCAAATTTCGAAACCTAAGGATTTTGCCACGGTCATTAGGGGACGAAGATTTTCTTTCGTTTCGAGGGATGAAGAAGATGGTTCCACAACAAGGCCAGGGCATGAGGATTTCACTGCTGATTTTGAGAAGAAACTCTATGACTTTTACTCCCAACGCAAGAATCTGCCGCGCCATTGGGCTTCCCTTAACGCATTTGCACCCGTTGAAAACGAGGAGCAAAGCCGGTCCGCTGAAATTCGCGAAATTCGAAAGGAATTTTTTGTTTTGCTGTTTATCGGTCACCTTCAAGATATCCTTCTCCAGGCGGTTTTAGATCTTGTCAAATTCGCAGATAGTAAAGTTGCGGACGGCACCATGAGACGAAAACGTGTGATATTTCCAAAATCAGAATATATCAAGCAATGGATTTTCGGCGGCTGGCCCGGCGAAGACGAAAAGGTGGAAAGCGAAATTCCTGTTGTAGGCGAGCAGACGGACTATGAGCCTACTATCCATGGGAGGGATCCCTTAGAAAGCCGCTTTGCCGACCCGGAGCACCTTCCCCCCGTCAATAGGTGGCAGAGATTTGGAAACTGGCTTCGTCGACTCTCGCATTTACTTAGCTCCAAGGAGAGCGCGTTTGGGTTGCGGGTTTCGGTTGCAGCATTCTGCGTGGCAATCCTGGCTTACTTGCAACAGACACAACATTTCTTTTATAGCAATCGGATCAACTGGGCTGTGATTGTGATTGTCATCGGTATGAGCCCTATCAGCGGGAAGTCGCTGTTTGGCCTGATGGGGCGGATTGTTGGAACTGTGCTCTCGACGATATTGGCTTTTGTGGTTTGGTATATTGTAGCTGAGAGGACTGCGGGAATCTTGGTGTTTCTTTATATTGGAAACTTTCTTCAAGTGAGTGTTAGACTCCTGCTGGTTCGTATGGAAGCTGACTGACGTTGTCGAAGTATTATTTCTACGTCAAGTTTCCGCGTTTGATTCCGGCATGCATCATTGCATTAATCACCTTCAATTTGACCATAGGGTATGAGCTTCAGGTATGCACGGGCTCTTATCCTTGCAAAAACCTGCACTTCTAACCATCCTGTCAAAAGGTTCGAAAGTTAGGGAATGCAGTTTCGGCATCAACTGGACTGACTGTTTTCCCTATCTATCTGTTTGCGCCCTATCGGCTGGTTGCAGTGATGGCCGGATGTGCCATTTCGTTTATTTGGGTAATGTTTCCGAGCCCAACGACGGCTGGTTCTCACGTCCGTAAAACTCTTGGGCGCGGCCTTTTTGTTCTTGCGACCTTTTACAATTGCATGCATACCTCTATTGAAGTATGGATCAACCAGGAACAAGGTGATTTGAGCGACCCTCAATCGCCAGCACGGTTGCTAGAAAAAGCTAGAAATAAGCTATTTTCCGAAGAAATGTTCCTGCTTGCCGAGATTCGAAGCCACATCGAATTCGTTAAATACGAGCCACCCATCGGAGGCCGATTTCCCAAGGAGACATATGAAAATATCAGCTCAGAGATCCAGACTATATTAACAAGTATGGCTCTGATGGCCCACGTCACTCGCAACGTGGACAGAATGATGCCCGAAGAATTTCCATACCGGGGATCTGTCAGCTCCACCCGGAGATGGAGCGCAAGTACGTGGAGCGACAGTTCCTCGGGGGGAGAGAAATGGATTAAACATCTTGCGCGGGCAGCAAGTTCTCAGGATTTCCATTCTCATGTCATTACCTCCCTTCTTTATCATTTATCCGCTGCAGTATCAAACGGCCTTTCGTTGCCGCCCTATCTAACCCCTCCCCATGCGTTTCCACTGGCCAGGAATCTAAGGCGGATGAACGAAAATTTGCTGGACATTCGGAACATCGAGGATCCCTCCTTCTCCGCCTTTGTGGCGGTTGAAGTGTTGAGCTCAATGGTGAACTCGAACCTGAAGACCCTTGTTAGGTATGTATTGGTTAGCATTATACCTGGTACCATTTTGCAATGTTGCTTATTTGTTTTGAGCAGTAACGTGAAATTACTGGTTGGTGAGCTTGACTTCGACGTTTACGTCCGGCGGCACCGGCATAGATTGCGCGAGAAACGCGAAGAACGCGAGGAACAACGAAACGGAGAGGAGGAAGATCGGCATAACAAGGTTGGCTGAAATGGCAAGTTATTGGGATAAAGGTTTATATTGAGGGACAATGATTGCCTAACTCTTCTATCTCCAAAGCGAAGACTGTCGGAGGCGGTGGCCGGATCGTCACATTTTCTTGAAGGGCAGAGGCGCGAGAAAAAAAAAAAAAAAAAAGGGCCGTGATGGCTTCAATCGCCCCTATGCAAGGGCTCTGGGACTATCTTCCATTGTCTTCACCTGCTCAAAGGCTTCTAGGAATCCAGATCCTGCTATAGAATACCTAGCAAAGAAGCTAGACTTCATTCGCAGAAATTCGGGGAGAGACTATTTGGTGGAGACCATATGCACCATTTTATGAAATCATAGAAACAGCAATAACTAGTTGAAGTACGGAGTAACAGATGAGGAATTGGATATGTAATTAGTTAGACATAAATTTGGCATCAATCCCTCCGTTCTTCCAAAAGAGCGCTGTGGTAATGTAGGAGCAACGTGCGGAGTACTCCGCATGGATGAGCTTGATGCTGTTTCCCAGGGGCAAAGCGCCACACCGAACGGCTTGGCGTGTGACCTTGCCATCCACCTGTCAAGAACTGCTTGTTCCGTAGACGGTATCTTAATTGCCTCCCTGTAAAAGAATCCTTGCTGTTGTCTCTGCTTCTAAGTTTGCCTTGGCCAAGTTGAAGTATTTTGAACTGCACTTTGTACACATTTGTATCTCCGACTTCTGCTGTCTCCCAACCGCCGATTCTGCGAACCCGGTCGCACTGATTACCTGGCGGAGCTCGGAAGAATTAGAAGTGACCAGAAACCTGATATCGCAGCCATGAGTGATGCCTATGAGCGTGAGCGGTATGCTGGATTCCCTATCGCTTCCCGAGGGCCCAAAGGCTGCTGCTCCAGATCCTCTTCCCTTTCATTCCGACCCAGATGAACGCAGCTAATACCGGGAAAACCCCCCCCCCCCCAACACAAACAGGCAAAACAATGCGCTCCTCGAGTCTCTTTCGCAGAAAACAAATGCTTTAAAGTCCGTTACTATAGATATCTACGACAACGCACAAAACCAAGAAACAATCGATAGTACTGTTGGTTCTCGCCTCCCTTCCGCAAATCCCTTGCCCTCCACCTGACCCCCAAGCTTCGAAACTTCCGCGGATTACTGACTGATTCTGTATTATTTGGGCCGTATAGAGCGAAGTATTTTCCTCCTTGTCTACGAATCTCAGAGGTAGCGCCGGTCGCCTAACCCGCGCCGCAAGGCAGGGTGATAAAGTGGCAGTTTTGAAAGTCGCCGGCATCGTGGCAGGTGCCGGTGTCGGCGCTTGGGTTGTTCTGGGCTGGATATTCTAGATTATGTATTGCTATTATACTATCTCCTTTGTGCCTTGGGACCGGCGGCGAATTTGGCGTTTTGGGAGGGATTGACTCTGATAATATTTGGTGCTCGGATTCTTTGAGCTGCTTGTCCACGAGAGATATCGCTATACCCTGCAATGATGTATTGCACGTTGTTTTCTGTTTCCCCTCGGAGGTAAAGGCGAGCAGGTAATGTCTGCATAATACGGGCTTTGCCGACCCCGAAATGAGTCCACCCGCTGAATATTTTATACCCGCATCTGGGGGTGTATATCTCCATTTAAGGCAATGACCAGATGATATCAAACAAATGAGAAGAGATTCTCTGAACAAAAAGACGTTATAAGCCCGTCTCCAGGCGGAGCGCTTGTAAATTTCTCGACAACGAAAGCCACGTACTAGGTAGGATAGCTGGGAAGGAACCTGGACTTGAAGCTCTGATTGAAGGGCGCTTGAGGGTTGGTTAGTATGAATAGGCGATTGAGCTACAGGGAGCAAAACGAGATTGCTCAATTGGTAATACCGCCAGGCGGGTATGGAGCGGCGGGAATGCAGAAAACTAGGCCAGGACTCCGACCAAAGGGGAGGCCTACCAGATCAAGATGGTTGTCCGTATGTACACTTGTATACGTGCGCGTATAAACACTGTCAAGCATAGCATTCAATTAAGCTTCCTAACGAGAAAAATTAACCAGATTATATACCTTTCTAAGGTGCCTTTACTGAAATCAAATTATTTGTTACGTCACTTCTATTTTCAAGTTTGCTATCGTGGTCACGTCGTAAGTAGTGCGCTCCATCGTGTTTATTCCCATACATTAGAGAATAGATCATCGTTCCCTGAAAAACCACCTGTTGTTTTGGCTTTGGGTGCAGAAGTGGAAGTTTCAGTTGGCACTGCACTGGTCCAGCCTCCAAAGTCTTCGTCCGCAGTTACGGTAGGAGTAGGCTTGGGAGCGGAACTTCCTCCAAGACCAGACGAAGCACCCCAGCCGCTACCTATATCGTTTGCAGTCAGCGTGTCAGGAACCCTCATCATTGATGTAGGTTGGGTTGTCGGTGGTGATGGGTCTGTGGATGCCCAGGCGTTTCCTCCCCATGGGTCTATATTAACACTTGAAAGCATGCTAGTTGTAGTTGCAGCATTAGAGGGAGGAGATTGAGTGATAGTTTGAGGTTTCGAAGATGATAGGTTGAAAATGGAGTTCATTTCGTTTGGCTTTGGTGGCGATACGGCTGGGGGCGAGGTTGTAGCCGGCGGGGAAGAGAAAAGATCAAGAATATCATTAGATGCAGTAGGCGGGGTCTTAGTTGATTTCGTAGAACCCATTGTTGCGCCAATTAGGTCAAAGGCCCGTCCGGTAGATCCTGTTGAGATAGATGGAGATTTACCTTGCGACGGCTTCTTTCCGGGTTTAGGCGACGCAATATCGAGAAGTCCGCTGCCAGTTGATGCTGGCGCCGGAGACATGGTTTGGGGAACGGAAGATGATGACTTTTGACTTGTTAAAGAGTCAAAAACAGAAAATGATGTCTCTTTTTTGGGAGGTGATGACACGGAAGATGAAAAACTTAAGCCGCTAAAAGCGTCCGTGAGCCCTCCAAAAGCGTCGTTTTGCGGCTTATGCGGCGATTGGAAAGAAGGTGAAGACCCGAATGACGTGGTACGGTCATGTTGAGAAGCAGGCTGCGGTTTAGGGGTAGATGCGTAGAGGGACAGGATAGATTGTTTAAGGTCAGGCCGTGAAGGCCCTGTAGTTGGTGGACCTGAAGGAGTGCTCGATGGTCTGCTTGCGGTTGTGGGTTGAGAGGTGCCAAAAAAATCTAATCCAAGGAGGGAGTCGCCAGGCTTGCCTTGCTTCGGAGCTGCTGCTGGCTGTGAAGATTTTGTTGGTGCATGTGTTCCAGGTATATCAGTTGTCTTAGGTCTAGTAGGAGGTGCCGGAGCATCATCATCAAATAAGTTAATCGACTGCTGTTGTGCAGGCGGAGACGGTCGTGCTAAGGTAGATGTTGCTTGATGTGATGCTGATCGCTCCAATTTTGCCTTTTCTTGCACAACAGCTAATGGCTAATTTACTGTTAGCCGCAAAGATCCCAACAGTGGGTAGAATTTCCCACACTCACGACGTCCTCATCACCATCACCATCAAGGGTCGACGGGTCGGGTATTGGCCCGTCCATAACCCACCTCTTCGACTCATATTTGGTCCTTATAAAATTTTCGATCTTCCTAAAGTCCGATCAGAATTCCTATCTAGAAGCCGTGTCGGTTTTCCAAGATAAGGAATGCTTACGCTTCGGATGGGACATGGCCAGGAGGCAATTTAGCTTCCCAATACCTATAATACGATATCAGTAATTTAGATAAATCAAGCAATACACTCGCGCTATGCTCAAATCTCAATGCTGGGCAGACGAACTTGTTCGCTCTTGCATTCCCCCATCGCACCACACTTTGTAATTGTTCATCGGTCCATGAATCCAAGTCCACCGACTTGACGCGGCTGACATGAGTCCCCATGCCTCTATGTATCCCAGAGCAACGGATGCAAATAAAAATTCCAATATTCCAGCTGGCCCATCTTGGATCTATCCAACTTCAATGTTAGCTACGCGTGTCCGAATGGCAACACCTTTTTGTTTGTTTTGGGGGGGTCGGTCAAAAGTGGTACTTCGGGGCTGCATTGTGCAAGAAGCTTCGAAATTCGACTGTCTGGAAGCACTTACGCTTATTCCGCTTGCAATCTGCACATGTCTTGTTGCAATTCAACTTCAGCAAGTCCTTTATGACCTGTTGGTTTTGGGCGGCTCGGGCTGCCCCCGGTTTGGGCCGCAGTGACATGATGCTGGAGGTTCAAGGGACAGGCGGGGTGGAGAGGGGTGACAATAAACGTTGCAGCGTGGTAAATTGACCTCGATCGCCGAAACTTCAAATGGCCGCCAGAGACATGTATGAGCGACAAGACTAACCTTCGGTAGAGGTGGTTCTTGAATTTCCGTGGTAGGCGGCGATAATCCCAATTCTACCACCCATATCACGTGATAGATGAATCAGCGCCCTTGGAAACTCACTGATCAGCACGGCGAGGTTGACCTCTCCCGCCAACCCAACATCGAGGTTGCAATGGATCGCTGTCCTCCACGACTATTTCCCAGTACGCCCTGGGAGTAAAAAACGAAGCAACATTTGTTTTCTTTGGTCATCTGCTGCATGTAGAACAGAGAATGCCAGGTCAGCAAGATTGCATCGGTGCCGCTTCTGGGCATTAATGACGACCCGGGATTGGCTGCTCGCAAGGAAGTCCTGCTGCCTAACAATTCCTTGTTCCCATCTTCTACGACTTTCTCGATCATCTGGAATGAATCTTCAAGGCTTTAGATGAAAGACTATTTTTTACCATCCTTTTCCAAAGGTATATATACACACATTCATACGATCTTGTGTCCGTCAACGAGCACTTCCTGTCCTGAAAGATGGATGAATCGTTTCCCCGCTCAAGCCCCCTTCTCAGGGAGCTTGCGGCTGCCACCAAACAAAGAAAGCCTGATGGGACGTCTCAAGATTATGTTGACCAAGGCTTTGCTGTTATCATAAATGCCTCCGAGTACCACAGAAAACTTCAAGAGAAGGCTATCAGGCATGAGTTCATCCTGCAACGCGATTACATGGACAAAAGGTTCGAGACCATTGAAGAGCGTATTGAAATGGTCGACCGTGGGCTTCAAAGCCATATGGATGATCAGTATAGGGGTGTGAACCGTCGATTCGAGAAAGTCGAAAAGAAATTGGAGGGTATGGAGCAAAGGATGGACAAGAAATTTGGAGAACTAGAAGCTGCAATTCATGATTTCCGTGCTATGACTGTAAATGGGAACGCAGACAGAGGCATAAAGGCTTTGCAACCAGTTGGCGTATACCATCCAAATCGTGGATATTTTGTTCCAGAAAATTTTCCTCGAACCGTGGGGGAGTTCTGGAAATTAAAGAGGACGTCTAAATGTAAGCAATGGGGCTAATTTCGCTTCATATTTAGGTGAAGGCTGACATTTGATGGAAATAGTACCTCAGTTAATATCTCTGTGTTTGTTCTATGGGATCACCCGTGAAGAGCTTACTGGGCTTGATATGGACGAGGACACCGAGGAAACTGAAGCATATACCTCCCTAACACTAAAGCAGTTGATCGAAAAGTACCCAGATTTAGCCCACATGGCGTTGGCTGATCGATTCGGGCTTAAGTACGCTGTCGTGGCAGAATTCATGAAACGACTAGAAGAATTTCGGGATCAGTCCACAGGCAAAAGATCCGTTATAGGCCAAGGAACCGAAGCAACGAGGAAATCTGCTCGGATTGAACGTTCACGACAGGGTGATGCTAACATCGAAAGCGGATCACATAAGTCGGTTCCACCATATCAGCGATTTTCCGAACATGAGGTTGTCCCGCTAGAGCTACTCTTGAAAAATACACCATCCACCGTCGAGTCTATTCGTTCGGATAGGACTCAGCTGGGCTGGGCCAAAACCAGTGAACGAGAAAGATTCGATGCGTATATGGCTGAGATAAATGAAAGAAGAGAGCGGGAAGAAGATCAAAAGCTGGAGGCAGAGCGCATCGCTGCCCTCCCTTATCAAGTTATACCTGCTGCTGGCGTGTCGGATTCGACGAAGCAAAGTCCTTCAAAGAACCCTTCATATTCGAATACCTCCAGCCGAGCTGGGAGGGTACAAGAGCGAGAATCCGAAGTTGCAAAGAGCCCAGAGTCTGGCGACACACAGAGCCAAAGGACTGTCTCCACAGAGCTTATTGAGTCTCCAGCTAGGGCACCGCGCACCCAGCTCCAGCCTGCCTTCCGCCCGAAATCTACCAAAAGCCAGCGCAGCGCGAAGGGGATGAAAGAATAGAAATACATTTTTACTCCCATATGCCTATTTGTTTTGCCCTTGAAGTTTGGATATTTACTCTTTCCAGCCTTAAAAAGGAAAATTCCCCCTGGTAGAATGCTGCTTGGTACTACCTTTTTAATACCCTGGCAGTTTGGATGAACTTAACAGTACGGTCAGATTAGTCTTATGATCTAACGCCTGGTCCTCAAGTCTATACCCACGTATATACAATTTAATGCGATATAACTCCATGGAAATTAACTCTCCAAAAGGCTACCTATTTCCCTTCCCCTTTCTTATTCGAGAACTTCAAACTTATGCTATTAACGCAATGCCTCTCGTCCGTGGGCGTTGGATATCCTTCTCCCTTGAATACATGGCCTAGATGTCCTCCGCAATTTGAACACACAATTTCTGTCCGTGTCATACCAAATGAACGATCTTCATGTCGCGTCACCGCACCAGGGATACAGTCGAAATACGCGGGCCAGCCGCAGCCAGAGGTAAACTTGTGCTCGGCCTTATAGAGAGGCGCATTGCAACCAGCGCAGTGGTAGACGCCGGATGTTGGTTTGTGCTTGTCGTATTCGCCGGTAAAGGCGGCTTCGGTACCTTTCCTACGCAGGATACGGAATTGTTCTAGAGAGCAAATAGAGATCTCATTAGGTAAACATCTTTCGAGACCCGGGAAGAAAAGGTTTATTGTACTAAAGCGCACAACAACGAGCACCGCAATTGTACGGAGTCTTCCATATACGTCTTGTTCATGATTGGTGATGACATGTAAAAGGGTATAAATATGTAGAAGACGTACCAGGACTTAAAATTGCTCGCCATTCATCCTCTGTTCGTGTATCAGGATATTCCATCGGCGCAGAGGTGGGTGCGTATGTAGAAAAGCGATTGAGGAGACCTCCAAAAAAGGACATGAATGGAACTCTCCGGAGGGAGGTTGAAATAAGAGCTGATCTATTCACTATCTGAGCCCGGGGAAACCTGGGGTATTTTAACGATGAGACTGATATTGACCTCAGGGAGGTGCTGTTAACGTTTGATCGGAGGATGCGGCGAAGACTACAATGATGAAAGCCCATATGGCTTGGGTAAAACAAAATTAGGTCTGTAGGACCAAAGAATTGTTGAAATTAGGAATCAAGGACGGTATTAATGTTCGATGTGAGCCGAATCCAAGTTCTTAATGTCTTCTTTTAGCAGACGCCGTGGACCGAGACATGGACGGTTTCGGCATGTTCAGCGGCTGCCGCCAGTTACGTGTGCCAAGGCCACAACCCTTGGAACATTTTATGCAAAATTCCAAGCCCCATGTTGTAAGGGAAGTACTCCGTATTCTAGAACGCATTCGAAAAACTTCACTACATCAAGTCATAAGCTGTGTCTAATAATGGGCACGTCTCTCTACTCAAAACGCCGAACATGCTGCCAATATCCGACAACCAAAAATATAATCTTGCAAGGAGACGTCCGCATCCGTACTCCGTATACAACGCTCAACATGTAACTAAATGGGGAATCAGGTATGGAAATAAACTCCCATAAATAAGTTAAACAAATCTCCCCCAGGAATAAAAGGGCCAAGAAAGACGTAACATCAGGTTCATCGGTGTCTAACCAGCCCTGCCACCGTTAACTGTCCTTGTCCGACTTCCACTCTCCACCCGTCCTTCGCCAATCTTCTAGCGACGGCTGGTCCAAGTCTCGCGGTGCCATTTCTGCTGTGTCTTCCCAGGCCGGTGATGATCGTATAACCCTCGCGAACTAGTCCTCCTCCGCCAGGCGCATACCTTGCGTCTCCAAGAGACTCCCACCAGGCTTCCACACGCTCGCATGCAATGCGCACTCCATCCTGCACACTGACGCCATGTAAATCCAACACATTACCAGTTGACTGTGAATCTACAAGGGCATCTGCCGCAGCTGAGGTTTCTCGCTTGGCGATTTCGATGTGCTCCCGGCCGACAGAAGAGTAATACCCGGCAGCACCACCCATGAGGTGGTCCGATTTACCACGACGGTACGCTGCGTGGGCTTTATTGAAGGCTATTTCCCCGGCACGTCGATGATGGTTCGCAAGGGCGCGACTTGCGCCAAGACTTGCCGCAGCACTTCCGGTACCTAATAAAGGGGAGACCACTTTCTTAGTCTTCCGAACGGGAGTGAAACCCGTCTGCGTTAAATTTGGTGGCAATATCGCCCGTGATGTTGTGGCTTCGATTAAAGGCGCTTCTGGCTCTGCAATCATCACTCTTGCAAGCTCGTTTGCTGCAGAAATGGAATTCCGCGCGAGTCGAAGCAAACCGCCTAGCTTCTCAGGGGAAACCGTGGAAAAATCTTCGCGGAGTTCTGCTACTTGCTGAATAGTAACCGCATCCTCCATTACTTGCGGATGCTTCTCAATTTCTTTCTTCGCCAGGTAGTGAATTGTCGTTGGGAGATGTGCAGCGTTCAAGTGATAGGCTGAGCTCGACGCCTGAGTTGATAGGTAAGTTCTAGAACAGATAAAGTCCACATCTTTCTTGCCATTGTCCCATTTATTGTCTACTTTATTTGGATTTAAGTCATCTTCGGCGCACGCAGAGATCGATTGCTCTAATAATTGTTTCGTCTTGGACTGTTTACCTTTACCCTTTCCTCTTTTTCGACCCTTTTTGTGGCTTATGGGACCATCAAACCCCTCGATACCCTTGGGAATAGATATTTGACCGTCATCCGCGTCCGCGCCCGCGGCTTTATAGCCGTTGTCGCTGCGGCTGCTGTCTTCAAAGAATGCCAGATTCAGCAGTACGTCCATCGATCGGTCAATATCACCATTGCATTTACCCAGGGTATGAGAAATCGTATATTGGGCAATGGAGGGAAACATTTCCTTCAAATATTCTTGCTTCTCCTCGAGATCAAGCCCAGAAAACGCGGTCCCTTTCTGTGAGAGGAATGGCGCTGGACCTGGATTGTAGGACTTAGCCTTGGTTTGATTCTGCTTGCCGGCTGGCTCCTCGTTCTCCACGCTCCAAGGACTCGACTCTAGGCTCGTAGGATTCGTCTCGGATGACTGGAGAGTCTTCTGCGAGGGAGGAACACTTGGCTCCGAGACGATGCCATCTTCCTCAAACACATCTCTTTCACCTGTTCCGTACGGGTCGGAATCACAGCTTGATTGCGCAGCCACAAAATCTAAAGTAGCACGTAACTCGGCAATGCCGCTCGGGTTATCGTCCAAATTAAAATCGCTCGCAATCGCTGCGAAAAGCGCCGGGTCTAAACGAGGGCAATACTCATTCTCCAACTCCTGATCGCGACGATAGAAAATGTAACTTATTAGCAGGTTCAGTCATTAAAAAACGACACAAGAAATCTTACCTCCATAAGACTGGTAGTCACGGGTTCGGCCATAGTTGGGTGTTAACGAGAGTGTAGTTGTTGATTCTGTGCTGAGCGCTCCTCGGTAAACTAAATGATACATTTTCTTCTTCTCTGGGTTCTTAAATTAGACAAATCGCGTATATTTATCACTGCACAATATCACTAACAGCGTAGTAATGGGTATGACTGTTCTCGCGGTTGTATCGGCAACCTCTCTATCGGTTGTGTCATCGTGATGTTTGTCGAGGTTCCAAGGCGCCTGCGGCACATTGTGGTGTCACGTGGTGCCATCGACAGCCGTCCACTCGAACGGCCGAGAGAGTTACGAGCCCAACATCGACTTGCACAAGAAACTCGAGATCGATGGTATACGGTCCTGTATCCTTATCCCAAGCTATCCCAACAATGCCGTGGGATCCCCTCTTTGCTTGCTGGCCATCCTGCTTTTTTCGCTCAGTCCTTGGGTTCTATCGCTATCAAAATAACGATGCCCACGAAAATATACCCAGATGAAAAACCACAGCCAGCTGCCTCTCAACAATGTTTACATATCCTTTCTTTAGCAGCATTTTGGCTTCTGTGTTTTCAAAACAACAGTGGGGCCTATGTTTTTCATCCATCCGCTGATAATATCAATTCTAGACTAATTGAAGTATCCCTCCCCGCAAGTTTACTTATGTTGCGTGCCACGACCTTAACTGGAGGCCCTCAAATGGCAGATTTGCTACTGTCAAATCCCCATTGTATTTTTGAAGAAATTTTCCACAGCTAAGAACAAACATTGGCCCGTTTGGCTATTCATGCTATAACTACTTATTTGCGGAAAATATTTCTTTATAAATATCATTCGGAAACAGCCAGTTCAATTCCATCTTTTTTTAAACATATCCCTGATAGCGTGCTCTCTTCCTTATGCAGGATTGATATTTTATAGCACGCCTTTTTGGTTGAAAGTCTCGCAGATTGAGCCATCCTCCTTGTCTGATTATCTCCCAGCCCATGTTTCTAAGGAAGAACGTCTTTTTCATAATTTCATTATTCTCACGCCTTCCAGACAATGCAACCACTGCAACAATGCAAGCAAAAACGTGGCGGTGAATCTGCTCACGTGCCTCATTCACTGTCTGGGAGTTGCTTCTTTCCTTTCTGGCTGCGCGGACATCCCAATCTGACGCATCACGTGCTGTTGGATTCAGCGGGCGGATGAGAAGAGACGTCTCCCCATCTCCAACCATTGTCCCAGCGTTGGTTTTCCCCTGGCATGCATCAGTTTCACACACTACAACTCCGGGCTGCATCATCGCAGTGCTTTGAAACTAAGTGATTTAGTCATATCTCCAGGCGCAGCTGTGAACCTGGTAGGTGTTTGTGATAGGTAAAATAGGACTCTAGTGAGCTGACTGTCACCATGGAAGATAGAAAATGCAGTTGGTTCTCGTCGTCACCATGTGTGGTCATGCTGGATGCCATATCATTGACCTATCCAGCACCAAGGTTTATAAGCCACTGGGTGAAAATGTCGACTGCACTTTCTATTACAGCAAAAAGCCATGTTTCCAATGCATTTATTCAAGGAAATATGCCTTAAATGCACACCACAAATGGGTCAAAGTCCAATGTGAGAAGATCATCCGAATCAACCCTTGAGACTGAGGCTAAAAGTAGTTAACACTAACGCGGTGATCTAGCGCCGCCGAGCTTGGGCGATGAACAATACATGAACGATGCTGCTGAGGGTAACAATACCGAGAAGCAGAAGAACGCCGACTATTATAACGTTGCGAGGCGTTTCAAGACAACAGGTAATGCTTTGCGACGGGTTTTGAGCAAATTGGACTCTGCTATCAAAAGCCTAAAGCGAGAATGAAAGATAGCGCCTTCATCAAGCCGCCTCTTTAGCAATATATCTCGGGAGAAAGGCTATCGCGTGGTCTCCAACCTAGTGTCGTTTGAGCGAGATAAGGCCATGTTTCCTGTGTTCCAGAGCTGGATGATTTTCTGTGATTGATTTGTTGCGACTTATGCCAGCCTATTATAACATCATCTCTTCACCTATGAGATATGCCTAGATTGCTGAGTTAACCTTGTTCTTATGGTAATTAGAGGTATGAAGGATCTATAACTAGGTATGTAAGGATATATCAGGTTGATTCCGTATAGCTTTCCCAGTTCCAGATGTTTCGGGACCGCCTCTTCTCGCTTAACCCCGGAGTTTCGAGTCACTGTCTCCCGTTAAAATGGGATTACGGTGCGTCAGTCCAATTCTTTTCAATTTTTGGAAGAAGCTACCCGAGAGGTCAGTCTCAACCCAATCCACCCCGTTATTCCGCAAGCTCTGCAAACCTCGAATTGCCGGAGGAAGGGAGAAAAACATATATCTACCCAAAAAAAGAACATACAACAGCCGGGATTCGCTGGTGGTCACCCACCCAACTACTAGCCGGCCGGCAAGTGGCTTAAGTACGGCTGAGCAGACGGGAAGCCCTGTTCTCCACTTCCTATGGTCGTATGTGCTTGTTGAAGCAAGACTGCGTTTCCAAATCATCTAGTTACATCATGACACGATCAGATATCAAAGGTCAATGTATGGAAATGTTTTGGCATAGCGGGTTCAATGATGTACTTGTGTACTTCTTCTCATCCTTTTTGTGCTGGATGCACAAGGCGGTGCAGCGTCCGGTGCAGCTTCCACCGGAGCAGAGAAGAAGAGCTGCCCATGAAAGGTGCCTGCTTCCTCTGGATGCGATTGCCTCCGTCTTCGTCTGTCTTCTTGTCTGCTTTTTGATCTGTATCAAGACAGCCTCTTCTCTCTATCATGTTCATCTCAGCAGCCCGATCTCGTTACTTTGTATGATAGATTCTGTCTGGATTTCGATACGTCCTTTACTAGCATAATATTCTGTCCATCGCTTCCAGAATTTACGGAAGGTTTCCGTTTACAGCAATGTATTTCAAGTTTGGCGTGTCCCTTTTGACACTCACCGCCGCTGCCGCTGGTGCGAGAACCTCATCCTCATTCTACCCTTCTATAGCAACGCTGATTATACTTCCTGGTTAACTAGCAATCCAAGTGACCAGTCCAGTCAGCGGTGCAACCTGGAATCTATCCAAGAGCCACACCATCACATGGACTTCTACCAAGTGAGACGGCCACTAAAATGAGGATGATTTGGCCTGACTGTGTACCCTAAACAGCACTGATCCATTGACCTTCGCCATCGAATTGGCGAACCTGGGCGTTTATCCTCCGTTTATTATGAAGGTTGCAAGGGGTGTCAAGACAAGCAGTGGTTCATATCGCACAGAACCAATCGAAAAGATTCCGGAAGGGTATTCGCATTTCATCCATACTGAACTCTTAAATAGCTGGAATTCGGAGGCTGATTATTCTCCGACAAACTTCTAGAGATACATATCAATTCAACTTTCTATCCGACGATCCCAGCAAACCGGGGATCCTCGCCCAGTCGCAGCAATTTTCTGCGTCTTCAGCTGGTGTCCCTACAAACTCATCGTCGGGCGCTACCAGTACCTCTATTAACCCCGGATCCAAATCCAGTACATACATCACTTCAGCCATCCTTTCCAACTCAACTTTAAAAGCTGAGGCTGATATTTTTGCTACAGCCTCGACTAACAGCTCTGGATCTCGTGCTGCTTCCCGCACTTCTAAGGTTTCCACTACATCCACTAGTACCCGCCGTCCCCTTACGACTACAGCGGATATGACCTCTTCAGCCCCTGAACAACGCGCCACCAATGCAGCCCCTGCCCTTCAAGTGTATAGCGGCGCTAATGGGTTGATCCTCTTCGCTCTCGCTCTAATCGCCTAAGCCAATACTAGATGTGATTGCCATAAACAAAATTTCTATTGAACCGCCCGGTGGTCGGTTTGTTCCTATCTGTTGTTCAGTGGTTCGCCTTCAGCTTGAACATGGGCCATTATGAGAACTCGTGATAGCGTATGAGGAATAATTCCTGTATCTCTAGCCCCGCGTTATTGGGCCTTGCATGACTATATAGCTTCCTTCGATGAAATAAATATGAATAGGTAATCTTTCCTCCACCTAAGGGTTTCATTATTATGGATGGGAAAACACAGATGTCCACAGCAAGGATTAGGATGGGGGAAATTTTGAGTTCTCAACTGGGATCGTGTCATTCAAATCAATTTCACTAATCGTACAGGAGTATTTTGCATCAAGACCAGGATCCCTATTTCAATGAAAGGCATTTCAGAAAACCACCAACCTTTCACCATCAGCATTTCAAAGAAAAATCTCAGCGACACAGCCGGCTGAGTTATCCATCCATAAACTCCCCGCTGTGTTTTGCACTTGTTTTCTAATCCTTGAAGCAAAGCCGGGAACGAACTGAGAAAATTAGCAGTCATCGCGCCATACAAGAACACCTCCAAGACAACTTATGAGCCGTAGCTAGGACATAACACAGGAAGACCCCTTTCAGGATTCATGATTTTTTGATTTTCTCTCTCTCTCTTTTTTTTTTTTTTTTTTTTTTTTTTTTTTGCCCCCGTCTTGGTACCCTTAAAGCTCGAAGATAAAACCCCAACGAGAATTGTCGATGTCGTTAACGAAATCGAAGATTTCCTTGCGAAGAGTAGGGTTAAGGTCAGCCACCTCGAGCAATCTTGCGCGCCTGGAATAGTACAATGCAACGCCCCATGATTCAGTGCCTTCGAAGCGACCTTTGGGTTTGGTTCGAGGGGTATTCTGCAGGATGTTTCGCATGACGAGTAGTGCCTTGTACGCGATGCCGTAAGGCTCCTTGTTTTCGTCCTGTGGGGTGGCGAAATAATCCCAGCGGATGAAGCGCTTTGGATAGAAAAATGGTCGACCCCATTCGAGGGGAGTGTCTTCCATGTTGATGAGCGGTGGAAGATGGCCGGAAACATGGGCAGCGACCAAGTTGAGATTCTTAGTTGGTTTCTCGAATTCCTCACATTTATCGAAATGGCAGACTGGATTGGGGACCTTCTTGAATCGATCGAATGGATACCAGTTGCCATCCGTCGAGTTTCGAATTCCCATATGGACGCACAACACGTGCTTTCGGTATTTCTCTGGGTCAACCCAAACGCGGTTACAGTATTCCAAGTCGGGATGATTCATGGAGTGGCCAGTAATACTGAGGTCACTTAGCTCGAGATACTGTGGGATTCGTGCTGGAGTCTCATCGGCAAGACGTTTGTCGTTCTCAGGATTGCGCGGTTTTGGCGGCCCTTGTGGATAAACCGGTGCGCCCGCCACCGTGGCTTTCTCCCAAGCCCTACCTGGAGCTGGCTGTTCATTTTTCTCATCCTCAGCAGTTGACGGCCGATAATTGGTGGGAGGAGTTGGTGCCGAGGACTGGCTGCTTGACGCAGTACCCTGACCATCGGCCACCGAGGCGCCTTGTGCTTTACCCGCGTCTGCATTGGGAGGGAGCGCAGGGAGTTCATCGCTTGCTGCCGGTTTGGGATTTTTTGGCACTCTCCACTTGCAGTAATAGTAAGGGAAGCCATTCATATCTCGACAAACGTCTCTAGGACGAATTCCTTGGATAACAAACTTTTGACCTTGTTCTCCTTCATTAATCACGCGAGCCCGAGCAATGCTAAAGGCATGGGTGACGGTGTTGATGAAGTCTGGAGCAGGAAGAAGAGGTGAATGTTCGGGCTTCAGGAAATCGGCAAAAGTCTGCTGGTAGGCAACCCACACAGCCCTTTGAGCAATTTCACCCTCGGAATCCTCCTGAAAAATGCATTGGGCCCAGCGTGCAGTGCGTTCAGGTTCTTGGAATCCTAGCAAACTGTTGACGCATCTCTCGGGAGGGATTGTGATTCGGGTCGGGGTGGGGCGTTTCTGCTCGTCGGCGTAAACCCTGATTTCGTGTTGACGTTCGGCATCATACAGCAACAGGGCGACAAGACGTGGAATCAGCGTTGTGGGAAGATCAAAGTTTTCGAGGATGAACGCAACATTATCCGGCTCGCAAACGTATTGATAGATAAAATCGAGTACCGCCGACATCAACTCCGGATCTTGCTCAAGGTAAAGGTAGTCTATCAACGTGGTAAACACACTCTTTGCCAGGCCGAATTTCTTGATGCCTTCGAGCTCGTAAGAGAACATTACCAGTGCCTTTAGAGCACTGAGCAGGTGGAAGCGGTCTTTGGAGTCCAAATATAGCATCAGAGTACAGAAAAGATGGTCGTTGTCCCACAAGGGCCACCAGAGACAAGCCTCAGACACCACCTCAAGCATGTGGTTTTTCATTTCGTTAAACACAGGCATAGGGGGAAGCTTGAGCACGATGGTCGCGGTGTCTCTCGCTAGAGGAAGCTCTTTCAAAAAATGAGCATTGAGGTCGACCTGACACATATTTCGGAGGACCAATGCGGCCTCGTTGACCAATCGAAGCTTGGTATTAGTCTCGTCATCCAGGACATCTGCTTGAGGGAAGATGACTTCAAGTCGGCGGAGGCGATCGAGCAAATCGAACGTTCCTTCGGCGCAGAGATCGTCAAAACGCGCGTTTGCTTTGTACTCATCGTTGAAATACGCGTAATCGTAGTTTGGTTCCCAGGAGATACCGTGAACAAGCTCCCCGATGGTTAAAATCTGCTGGAGCAATGCCTCTGCAAGTCCCGAGTACTCGTCGAAGAGCAACACTTCGTGGTGTATATCTGAGAGGCGTACCAGATGGTACAGCCCTTGCTCGACCTCTTCTGGGATTCTTGATTTAAGGCCCATATAGGACCGGTGATAGATATCCCCCCCTAGCAAGTTAACGCGTCAGTACTGGCCGATAAAGGCGAATATAGCTTGTTTAGAGATGCCACTCACCGGTACGATCAAGAACAATGGTTGGCGGGCCGGGGTCTGGGGTTGGAGGGCGGGAATCTCCGCGCGCTTCTGAAGGAGCGGGTTCAGCCGCAGGAGTTGCCATCGTTGAGGACGATGGAGGAAACGAAGGAGGATTGAAGGAAGCGGCTTGAGGAGGGTGTGGAAGCGGTGGAGGGCGAAGAGATGGAGGAGGAGGAGGAGGAGGAGGAGGAGCTGCAGCAGCTGACAAAGCCTTGTTAGCCTTGTTTTGGCAAGAAGTCCATGGCAACCGGAAGACACCGCCAACAAAGGAACACTTGGAGAGAAAAGTGAGATGGAGTGTGCGATGGCGTGATCAACTCACCAGCAACTGCTTGTGGCCCAACGAAGCCAACAGTGCGGGCCTCCAGGTCCCTAGAAGGTTCAAGCAGAGTCAGCAATAGCCTTACAGCAATCTCAAAGGAGCATCCAAAGGGGAATGTTGTACTCCGTAAGGAGGATGGTATGCTTACAGGAGCCGCTCTTCGTAGAGGCGCTTTACGTGGAACGACAGGGCCCCTGCCGCTCCGGCTACAATGCCCACTGCCTGGGCGATTGCCCACCAGTGCCTCTTGTCCACGGAGGCCTGGTGATATCCCCCGCGGCGCCCGACCTCTCTGAACAGGGCCTGCGGGCTAACCCGCTTGTTCCCAATGCGCCAACCCAGAGCAGGGTTTAGGGGCCAGGAATAGACCCGTCTGGAAGGGAAAATAATCAGTATCCGTAAGGGGGAACGGAAACGAAGGCGAAGAATGCGACCGGAGCTGGCAAACGAAGCGAAGCTTACCCAGACTGCGAGTACGCAGCGCTCAAGCTCTCCGCGAAGTAGCGGCCGTCGGTCTCGAGCTGCTGCCGGGAGAAAGACATGGTCACGTGAAAGTTGATCCACCACAGATATTCACAACAAAACGCTGATTGGATGAAGGGCAGGCACAAATCACGTGGAACATGAAAAGGTTGTGAAAAAGAGAAGAAAGCACGTGACAGAAATTTTATGTTTGTGGGCGCGGTGGGGGCCGCCAAGAGATGGTACTAAACCGCTTTAGGAAACACTAGTCCCGTTAGGTAAGCAGGTTCCGTCGGATATATGTTATTCCGGAGTATCTCTTTGATGATGTAATCCACTCCCAACCGTCTCAGGTTGAGCCTGGTCTGGGAGGGGGATGGCCGCACCGGTCAGCCGGTGGATATGGATATCGTAGCGTTCCTTGCCCATAAAACGGCCTATACGCCTCTACCGAAGGCTTCGATCGCCCAGGCGGCTGTTAGAGCCCTGCAGGATGAGCTTGGTCGCGTCGAAAGAGCCAGAACTGCGTGTATATTCCTCTTTAGGCAGTCGCGCAATATCAGTGGAGGTGTAGTTATCCAGCTCAGGGTAATTTGATATCTTCCTCTCTTGTAGGATATCAAAAGATAAATCTACGTCCTTGTATATAACTAGCATATACAAGGGCCTTTCTGCTAGCATTTCTCCTCGCTCACCATGGAAAGCCCAGGAGGTATTCCCCTTTCGTTGACGGTGCTCAAGTTCTCTTACGTTACAACGACTACGGGCCGAACCTCTCCTCTCGGCTGGACTCATATATCTGGCGGTGTCGACTTAAGGGCGGTTTTTGGTCGTACCCAAGTTCGAGAGAATGGCTCGTCATGGACAACGGGGAGCCCTACCCTGAAGGTGCTGCGAGGACTGGATGTCCTGGTGCGTTGAAGGGGCAATGGCAATGTGTATCTTCAGTGAGGCTCCTTTACTGATCCGGAAATCACATCCTCAGGAAGATCTGGATCTCGATGCCCTCGCGAGAGAAGCAGTGGCCAGCTCATCGAGCCAGATACAGATTTCGAGTTCAAAGGCCCCCATCGCCGTGCTCGTCAAGTCTCCTTGCCTTGCTATCCGGTATCCTACGCGTGTCAATCAGGTGTGGAGCTCATCGGAGAGCTGTCTACAGAAGTCACACTTTAAAAGAAACACTAATCGCGTTGATAGATCCGCAGATTTCAGCTGAAATTCGCTTCTGATGCCGATTACCGCAAGGCTGTCTCGATTTTGAGCGAAGTCGGATGTCCTATAACCGAATCGACCGCTGGTAGCTTTCCACCATCGACTGCATTGCTCACAAGACCAAACACAGCAAGTTGGCCTCATAGCACAGCGTCTCCTGTGTTGGGAATGCGTTCATCCCAGGCCGGAAGCCACAGTATACGAGCAGTTCCAGCTACAGTGCCAGAGACGCGTCCATCTACCATCGTAAGTAAACTTTGCAAAACCATTCGTCCCTCTATAACTACGCCATCATCGGGGACGGCTCGCGGATTTCGGTTTCTCAAGCATAAGTTTATTAACAACATGTGATTCATAACTAACCTGCACATATTTACGCAAATAGGGATCTTCTTCGGCCCTAGGTACAACTCAACCGTCGAGGAACACACAAGTTATGAATAAAAACGCACGTTTGGAATATGAAAACTCCTCTGAACGGCCGTCGACGGCCCCAATCTTCCTTGATGCAGGGTCGTTAATCGAGCAGCTTCCTCCAAAGAGAGAACTACCGTTTGCAAAGCCTCAGCGTAGACAGCAACGCTACATTCCGCCCAAACAGACAATGGGCACTACTGCTAACTCTATAGATCTAAGCTTGAATCCTCAAACCCACGGCGGCGAACCGCCTCCTCCAGAGTCGAGTATCCAGGCTTCAATGACGCGTCTCGATTCGGAAGGAATACAGTCCCCTGTCGCTAGGAGTGCAATGGATAGTATAGCCAAAGGTGACGTTTTTTCAACGGATATGGGCACATCGACCTCATTCACGCCGTCAAGTATATCCACTCTGGGGGCCGCACTGGAAATCGCGTCTGACGCGGCACCGGTCAAAGCCGCGCAGTCTATCCTTGCAGAAAGCCGTACAAGCACTGAGCTTGGTACGTCGAATGCTTTCTTTCCCGGTCTATACGCCTCTTCTTCCCGACGATTAGCTGACAAAGATGGAAATACAATAGATGCTCGCCCTAGCCCTGCTCGTAGCGCTGTGCAGCTTCTACCCCAAACTAGCAATTTAAGCTACAGTGCGTCATCAAACCCGCCCCAAATCCCAAGCCAACAAAGCCACATCGACAGTCAACCAAACATATCCACTGTTCCTGTAACCAGCAACTTACTCACTACAACAGACCTATCATCTTACCTTTCAACGCCGACAACAGAGCGGTCTGCACTTGTAGAGTCTTGGGTATGTCAGCAGCTGGAGAGTGACGGATTTCTGGCTCTGTGTCAGGACGTGGAATGTGTATGGAAGCGGATCGCGTTTGGCCTCTAAGGCTCGGTTATGATCATACAAGCGATTTGACGGATTGTCTACCCCAATCCACGGAAACTGGAGCGAGCAAAGATTTCTGATACCTGGAATTCATACAATGCTTATGCATTTCTTATGATCTACATTTTTCGATTTCATATACCCTTTTCTACTGCCGGTTCTGATGGGTGGATTTTAATCGGATTCAAGGAAAACTCCCCGCCCCTTTCTTTATAATGACTTTATGTAAAAGCACGCATGCACACACACACACACACACATATATATATATATATATATTTCCATACTACTCCGTATTGAATTTACTGATACTTAAATCGGACTCCAGCTCCGCTCACATCGAGCAACGATAATAACCTACTCCGTACCCCGACAGGTTGACACTACGTCAACAGAGACCTGGAAATGTGTAACCATGCTCGCACGAAAGGAACGATCCAGAAGAACAGAAACACGGAACCACACCGAAGACCGAGAGCAAAACGCCTTTTTACGGCCGGTTACGATCTCCATACACATATACACGGTAGTTAAAATTACTGTGCGACCGGACGATCCCTACTCGGCCGTGATGTCAAATTGCACTCGAGTCTTACCTCCTCCCCTGTTCCTGGAACACATTCGGAGTAACATATTGTGCAATGTGCAGCTCTGATCGATGCAGCTTAGCCGTCGGAAATGCCCCGAAGGCGCACGGCCAGAGCTTAACCAATCCCGGTGATGTAACTATGTGGTTATGATGTACCTATGCAACGGCGTGTATGCATGCACGGGGGTTCTCGATTACAGCTGATAAAGCCTTGTCTGGAGTCGCGGGCGTATATCTGCCTTTTGGGCTTGGCAGTGTTTTCAAACCGACTTGCCGAATCTCCCGCGGAAAGTAAACTCCTCTTTACTCGACCATTAAAGATCTGTGTTTCTAAAACTCCAAACACAAGGACAAAGGTAACTGTAAATTGTCAATTCAATTTCATTGGAAAAGTTATAATGAGAATAATCCCTAAGGCGAGTCATGGTATAGTGATATCAGATAGAAAAGCAAACAAGTGGAAGTCTTAATTATCGCACACAAGACCAAGTAGATCATCAAATCACTACAGTGATATAAGTTGCTCCTGCGAATAAGAGACAAAGGAAAATAATCTCTATCGCTGCATATTAAACTCAAACGAAGTCGTCACTTTGGACTTGTCCAGCTTGGCTGTTTTCAAGGGAAATTTTTTATTTTTATTAAATATATTTTTTCTTTTCCTGCTCCTTTTTTTTTCTCGCGTTATCGAGTCCGTTTTCATCGTTATTTGGTTTGCTGTCATGTCTGGAGGAGCCCACTTCAACTGGATAATATGCAGGGAGATAGATTCGGCAATCGATCGTCACAGACGAGGGAGAGTCATGAAATTCGAAGTTGACTTTATGATGTCAACAGGTTGAGATAGTCGACGACAATCAGGGTCACCATGCTAAAGGCAAAAAGAATTATTTGTTAGCGAGGGCATTGGATGGTGGGCCAGGGCAGATCCGCTGTTGGGCGGATAAAAGAAAGTGACGGTGTCTGAGTTTGGGATCCACTTACGCATGGGGCGCAATCCGAACGTAGTAAGTTCCAAAGCCACGATAAAATCTTAACCAGCCTTCATCGCGCACAACCTTCCTGGCGCAGTCGAAGACACCCTTGTACGGCAGTTGCCCGGTCTTGGGGTCTTTCTGTTGCTTTTGGAGGCGAGTTTTGATAAAGTCAAATGGCAGCGATAGGAAACTAGCAAAAAATCCGGCGATTGCCGATGCAGCAAAAGTTCTGTTCTGCGGAGAAAGGTTTGTGTGGGCTTGAAGCTGGGATTTGCTCTCGGAGAAGAAAGTCAATTGACCGAAGTTCAGCGCCATTGCCCGGACTACCGTCGGGAAAGCTCCAGCCCAGAGGGCGGTGATTCCTTCGGATTTGGAAATGCGGGCCAGGGCATCTATGACGGAGCGGTAGTTGGCTCTGGCCTCTTTGGGCTTCAATCCATCGGACTGCATGCGGATGAGCGCGAGATCGGCGGGGTTTCCAACCATCGCAGCGATTCCACCCGCTGTCAACCCGGCTGCAGCACGCTCGCCAAAAGTCACTTTAGTTCCAGAAGCCGCAGCACGGCTGTTCAGCATAGCTATGAAGGTGTCAAAGAACCCGAGGCGCGCGGTAGTGTAAACTGCCTGTCGTAAGAGGCCAGCTGATAGTCCAGTGTACAAGTCAAGCACTCTGCCAGAAGCAATGATGTCTCTTGTGATACCCAGCGCTGAAGGTCGAGGGCCGGTTCTGGCACCCTCACCTGCGAGCTGCAGTCGAACTTTGACCATGTCGATAGGCTGGATGCAAGTGGTGGCCGTCATACCTGCGAGACCGCCATTGACGAAAGGCAAGGCCGCACGTACGAATGGGGACTGAAATACGGATGAAGCTCTTCCGGGGGAGCTCTCAACGGCCGCTTTTGCTTCTCTTGGGGCCTCGGAGGCAGCTGCGGAAGCCGTCTCTTTTAGAGATGTGGAGGTCATTGTGCAATCGAAAAGAATGAGAATGGCCCTCAAAATCGGATAGTGGTCACCGATATAAGCTGGACTGTATACTGTATACTAAACAGTTTGAATACCATCAGCCAACACACACACACTTGGGTCAAATTACGGTGTTTGCACGTGGCGAAAGCTCCTATTAATGAGAGGAAAGCTTCAACCCCACAAGCTCATCGGAGCGGGGTATATGAAAACCGCGGGCGATTAGGTAGAGGAGAGGTATAATAAAAAAAAGAAAGAAAGAAAGAAAGAAAAGAAAAGGAAAATCAAAACTCACTCAGTGGGGAGAGGTAAGTTGACCGCGAGCAGAAGCAGGTTCTAGCACCAGTCGAACTTCAGCCAGGTTGGTGAAGAAGATTTACCAGCCGGAGGGAGATGACAAAACAACAGAGAATCGCGTGATCGGTTGGCGTCTCGAGACTTGATCAGATTAACGGCGATCCAACGGATGCCACTCGGAGGGAAAAGACAGCCTTAATATAGAGTGGCGAACGACGGATGGTTCTGTCGCGCGGGGAAGCCTGGGGGTAATCGGCAGAGGGATCGGGACCCAATGAAAGTTGGCGGCAAACGGTACCCCGTGCAGAGAGTCAAGAGGTGAACTAGGGAGAAAAAAGAGGGGAGAGGACCGGTGGCTTGCTAACGTTTAATTGGAAACGATAGCTAGGTGAGAGAGATGGTGGACGGACGATGGGCGAGGATGAGGACGATGGAGGTGAAGACGGAGGGAGAGAGAGAGAGAGAGAGAGGAGAGAGTAGAGAGGAGAGGAGAGGAGAGGAGCAGGAAGAGAGGGCTGGAGAAGGGAAGTCAAAAAGTTGACGCAAAGCTTGCAACGGCAAAGGGGAGAAGGTAGTTTCAAGTATCAAGTACCTCGAAGCAGCGCGAGTTGCAGGCGGGAGCCCAGCCGTATCTTGTACTTTGTACTTGTAGGATACCGGGGGAGACCTTTTTCTCCTTCCTGAGCACGCAGGAAAAGGGGATACCAAGGTTTAAGTATATCTACATACTGTGGAGTCGCGGGCAGAGCAAGTCACTCTGCTGCTCACGCTCCAGCTTCGAGAATATGACAGCATTGCGAGGTTGAACTCAAAGTAGATCCGGGTATATACTCCGTAGGGCCACTCTAACTTGTTAACTAAAGCTTCCCGTTCGGCATCTAGCTCCCCTGTTGACGGGCCGGATAAATGGCATTTGGCAAAACACACACACACAAGTCCTGGAGCGTGCGGACTATTGTATTGTCGTCTTCTTGCTCTTCAGATGAAAGAGACACACACCCAAACTTACCCCGAGCCGACCCCGTGGCTTTGTAGCTGTACAAGCAGCGCAGGTCACTGTGAGGTGCGGGGTAAACACTAAGCTGCAGGACTGACACGCCTTCCGTGTTGGGTGTTCCTGGCTGCCCCTGCCTGCGTCATGTGCCGTTTCCCCTCTCCGTCCCTTTGGAAGGTACCTATATAAAAGATACTTAATGGCTACGAAATAGCGATTTTATCCCGCCGACACACACCGCGATCTCGCTGCGTATCCTGCCAGCCAGCAACCCTGTACGTTTTGGTTCTTGTGGACGTCATCACCAACTAAACCCCCCCCTAACCAAGTTAACTAACTCACTAAACGAACTAGTCAGCAACACTAGCCTGGCCCACCCAGTTAATTTCCGGCTGATCTGGCGGATGGCCCTTTTTCTTTTTTTCTTTTTCTTTTCATTCGGTTTTTTTTTTTGAATCGAGATTAGTATTCTTGGATTTCAAAGAGAGACTGACATTGCAGCCCAGCTCACCACCAGAAGACCAGTGTCCCCCTACTGGGAATCCCTTCTTTTTCTTTTTTTTTTTTTTTTGGTTTTGTTCTTCGGCAGCATGACCAAGATCGGTCGTTATCAAGGCCCTGGAACACTGAACAGCAAATAACTAGCAACCACGAAAATTTGGCCCAACTTGCCCAACGATGCACTCATGGTCCCCACAAGAGAGTTTGAAGATGCAACTCAGACGCCTGGCTGGCCGTTGAAAATATCCAGCCTTTTGCCTCGCTCTGTTGGGGCCAGCAGCTCTTGGCCTTCTTCGGCAGCCATTCCGGGCCGACTTGTTGGACGGAGGAAACTTTACTCGGTAAATAGTTTTCCTCCGCTGCTTAAACAACTTATTAGGCGATCTCGATATTTGCTGAGAGAAGCTCTCACCTTGCAAGACCAAAAAAAATAAAATAAAATAAAATAAGGAAAAGAAGCCTCCCATTCCGCAATATATCGCATTACACATACATTAGTAACTAACTACGTACTCCACTCTGCCCGTGTTCCTGTCCGAGCCCTCCTGCCCGCCAGCAAGACCCGTTCTCCCGGTCCCGGCTGACGGGAGGAAGCTATGTAAGTCGGCTTCCATTATTCGCACCAAGGCACACAAGAAAAGGCGGAAGCGGAAGTGAAGTGCTGGGAGGATACTATTCCGTCCCCCATCTCCGTAACTCCGCCGTCGTGTTTCAAATCGAGGCCATCTCCCCAAAATCCTTCGCCGTCGTGGAAAAAGGTCATTCCGGCCCCCGATATCACCCGAGCTATTGCGGCTCCTTTTCGAATTCAATTGGCAAGAGTACGAGTATGGAAGATAATTTGCGACTTTTGCCAAGGTTGTTGACGACTGGACCTGAGCTCTGCTGTGATACGTCCCTAGCCAATTTGGCCAGGTCAGGATCCCGTGTCTGAACCGTAACTGTTGGGAAGCTGCTGTAAAAATGGAAGGCTTGCCGAGTATCTGTTGAGGCCTTCTTATCCCCTACCCACCGGCTACATAGGCTTTCTAGACTTAACTCCGCCGCATTGCTTGTCAGCTTATTTTCTGCAAATAGGGTGTTAGTGCTGCATGTCTTCAATTCGCCCAGGGTCTGCTCATCAGCTTTTTGCCTTGTTAGTAGGCGATACTATACGCTAAGATCTTCGTCCATCATAAGACTACTATCACTATCAACTCTGCATTTGGTTTTTGGATCCCACCTCAGAGCATCTACATGTGTTATTTACCAGACTGGACCCAAATCAAGGCGTGCAGATCACAATCTAGAAGGATGATTTTAAATATTTCGTTTCACCTACAACAAGTCTTTCATGTTAATTCCGACCAAAGGGAGAAAAGAGTTTCAGGGTTATATTCTTTTTATTTCATTTTTTTATGTAAATATAACTCTTTCTGATTCTTCCTCCTCTTTTTACCAACTTCCGTGTCCCTTGACCAAACCAGCGGTACATGGTTTTCTTGCTTTTTGCAAGACCTTTTTTTTTTAAGTTGTTGTCAACTCTGCTTGGTGTTGGAAGGTGATCACAGTATTAATCTGCACTTAAACAGGAAACGCGTCGAGGAATATCATGATTGGAAAAAGAAAGGGGAAAAAGAGAAAAAGGAGGACATGTGCAGACTCATGAAGGAATATTTCTCATGAGGAGAATAGAGCGTGGTTTGTAAAGAAGGATGAGGTCGTTGTCTGTAGTGATGGGGTTAAAGGGGTTTAAAAGTGGTAGTCGCAGAACGACAAGAGACAAGGGGGCAATTAAAACCTTTGGTATGATGCAGAGAACCCAGGCAAACTATGCATATCAGAAGAGAATCAAGGGGAACAAAAAAAAGAAAAAAACATGAGGGAAAGTCCCATAAAACTGTTTTTTTGGAATACAAGTCAATGCAAACTCGCAAAAAAAAAAGGATTCGAACCCAATTCAAACTAATTTTTTTTGGACAGCATTCTTCGTAAACTCAAGAATCGACGTTTTGACTTTTTCGTCAAGATTTCTTCCGGTTGTGACGCCGACTCTTGCTTGGCTAGTCAATTTGTGGTCTCCTGGGCCTGTTCGCCGTTGACTTGAACGGGAGCGGCCTTATCAGCGACCGGTGCCTCCTCTGCACCAGTGACAACTGGAGCAGCGGCGAGGACCTCTGGGGTGGCTTCCGCGCTGTACTTCGTGAAGTTCTGGTTGAAGAGCTCAGCCAGCTTGTTGACTTCATCCTTGAAGCTGGCGGAGCCGGTCCAGCTTCTCTGTGGGTTCAGCAGCTCGCTAGGAACGTTGGGGCAGGACTTGGGGATGTGAAGGTTGAAGGTGTCGTAGGTCTCGTACTCGACCTTGGCGAGCTCACCGGAGTGGATCGCATCAAGAATGGCACGAGTGTACTTGAGTGGGCAACGCTTGCCACCAGTGGTGCAGCCAGCACCAACCCAGCCGGTGTTCAACAACCAAGCGTTAGCCTTGTGCTCAGCAATCTTGTCAGCGAGCATGCGAGCATAGCGCATTGGGTGGAGAGCCAAGAATGGTTGAGCGAAGCAGGAAGAGAAGGTAGCCTGGGGCTCAGTAACACCGTCCTCGGTGCCAGCCATCTTGGAGGTGTAACCGGAAATGAAGTGGAACATGGTCTGTTCGCTGGTGAGCTTGGAGATCGGTGGAAGAACGCCACGGGCATCGCAAGTAAGGAGGATGATGTTGGATGGGTGCTGCTCAGCCAGGCATGGAATCTTGGCGTTCTCGATATATTCAATGGGATAGGCGCTATGAGGACAATTAGCAACCATGAATCTCGCAATTTTGGAATCTCCAATCTTACCATCTGGTATTCTCAGTCAAGGTAGCATCATCGTAGTCCACGATACGTGTCTCTGGGTTGAAGACAACATTCTCCAAGACAGATCCGAACTTGATAGCGTTGAAGATATCAGGTTCCTTCTCTGCGGATAGACCAATGCACTTGGCGTAGCACTAGAAATTGCGTTAGAAGATTGTTATAAAAGGGAAAAAAAAAAAAAAAAAAAAAAAGGAAGAATTGGGTAACATACTCCGCCCTCAATGTTGAAGACACCACGGTCGCTCCAACAGTGCTCGTCGTCACCAATCAAAGCACGCTTGGGGTCGGCAGAGAGGGTTGTCTTTCCGGTACCAGACAAGCCGAAGAAGAGGGTAACATCACCATCTGGGCCCTGGTTGGCAGAGGAGTGGAGGGTGAGGACGTTGTGCTTGATTGGCATCTCATAGAAGAGAACCGTGAAGACACCCTTCTTCATCTCTCCGGCATACTCTGTGCCAAGGATGACCATCTCCTTCTCGGCAAAGTTAATGGCAACGGAGGTAGCCGATGTCATACCCTCAGTCCATCTGTTTGCGGGGAAAGATCCGGCGTTGTAGATGACATAGTCTGGGTGGAAATGCTGTAGCTCCTCCCGCTTGGGACGGATAAGCATGTTACGCATGAACAGAGCATGGTAGGCACGTGCGCAAACGACGCGGACGTTGATGCGGTAGCGCTCATCCCAGCCGGCATAGCCATCAATCACGTAGATTCGGTTTCTTGTGTTGAGGTAATCGACGGCTCTCTCTCGGTTGATTCTCCAGACCTGCCAATCGGGACAACACGGTTAGTAATCAGTCATGACGTCACACCACGTGAGGTTCGGAGAGGGTCCGGGCGCGACCCAGCAGCTGCGGGGAAGCCACAGGAGCCCCGATACGCTGCCAAGAGCGCAGGGGTGGAAGAAAGTTCGGGACGCGGAAAAGGGCTGAGCAAAAGGGTCGTGGGCTCGGCAGCATGGGCAGTCACACGATCGAAACAGTTTTCAAAAAAAAAAAAAAAAAAAAAAAAAAAAAGGAAGAAAAAAGAAAAGGAAAAGGAAAAAAAACATTAAAGAAATAAAAATAACTTGAAAGGTGACTCACCTCAGGGGTCATGGGCTTGTTGACTGGACCCCACCAGATCTCATTCTCTGATGTTTCTTCTTTGACAATTCTCTTGTCTAGGGGTGATCTACCCGTTTTGGCTCCGGAGTATGCGGTCAGGGCTCCGCTGGATGTGATAGCGGTTCCGGTCTCGTAGACGAGGGCATCTTCGTAGAGAGCAGCAACAGAAGGATTGGCGATCTATTCCGGTGGTTAATCAGTATGTTGCTGATCAGAGAGTAGCATGTATAAAAGTTGCAGGAGGAAGAGGGCAGCAAAGAGCAAACTCACAATTGCTACTCTTTCATAGTCAATGTGGGCTGTTTCGTGAAGCTCCTCCTCGAGCTCAGTGTGGCCCTTTCCTGGTCTGAGGTCACCGTTAGCAATCATGGTTTCGGTGGTAGCTTGCGCCGCTAAGTTGAAGATATGTTTGCTGTGGGTGTCGATTGTGTAGTGCTCATGGAGATCCGACATGGCCTTCATATATATCCACTGGAGAAGGCCAGTCTCGGCGGATACAATTCATGAACAATGACGACAATAACCGCGGCAACAAGGTTCAACAACAGAACGGACAGGGGATGGGAAGGGGAACATACTGAACACCAGTGGGGTGCAGCGCAGTGCGATTGACAGATGTCGACACCATGTTTCTCAGGGATGTGGAATGGTAGTTCGAGTGCTGTTGTTTGGCAGCTTGCTGTCGAACGAAATCTGAGGTGAAATAGTCGAGAGGAAGTGGGTGATTGGGGGGTATATTAACGGTAGCACGAGGAGCTGAAGATGCGGGTGCGGGATCCATGATTTGGCTTTTGATTACGGAGTACGGCGAAATCGAATTCACTGCGAGTCTGCTGCCCTGTCCCACGGAATGGTTAGCCCTCCCGTACCATGCGTGCTTCTCCACAGCTGACGGGAGATACCGGGTAAACCGTGACCAAGCTGGGCAGTGGCGTAGTATTTTGTCAGAGGTTTTAGCGTACACGAAATTAAATATGGCAGCAAACTGCTCCGAAATGACCCGAAAACGGCCTAGGCTGTGAAAATGGAGAATAAGAAGAAAAAAATGGAGTCTGTGTGGAAGGGCTTGCCAGGGGGGGAGGGACCTGTGGGATTGGATGACGTTCCGGGCGACGAATGAAAAAAGTGAAACAAAGCTATTCAAGGAGACTGCAAGCAACGGGTGTTACTTAATCCAGTGACGATCAGGCTGTTTTTCCCTGGAGGAGGGGTTAGGTAAAAGGTTCAATGGGATTGCGAGGATGCTAGCGAAGAGGTGAGGTTGAAAAGGAAAAAAGACTTTGAAGCAGCTCCGTGCCCTGTTCGCCCTTTTTAAATGCTTTGGTTTGCCTCCTCCCAGTGAACGTTGACCGCTACTTACATTTCCCAAAGCCACCAGCGCACTCGGTCTACGGTGTCGAATCACAGCGGAATATCGCGACAGCTTCTCCATCATGGCACTCCGGCGTCCTTGGAGCTGGGAGCGACAACTCTGGCAAGCAGGTTTTCGCTGCGGGCGCTCGACCGGGCGAGACTGCGGCCTGGATTGACTAAGCGGAGAGTGTGGCTGGGCACATGACCGACACAGCCCAAAACCGCCAGAAACCCAAAGACGAGCGACATCCTGGCCGGTTTGCATGGGCAGGCAGGGATGCCGGGGCGAACCCACGATCGACAGTACATACAGACACAGGGAGGAACAGTCCGTATTATCCTCCGTTTTTCCAAGGATTGAACGGCAGGGGTGGGCGCCTCTGAGTTCAATTAGCCGATAGCAAAATGCTGTGGGTGGACTCGCCATCCATCATGGACATGTCGATGCCCCTGAAGAAGCAAGTACATAGTTATTTGAGCGATCTGCTCGACAAGAGTTAGTATGTAACTATATTCTGCCTGCTGCTAAACGCTTTTGCTGTACGGAGTACGGGGTCGAATGCGCAATTGACTCTTCAAGGCTCTGTACTCCGTACTCCGTCCCCAAAGGGAGAACTCTTCTCCCCCCGATGATGACGGGGCCCACAGCCTGAAGGCGATTCTCGTTGAACTCGGCTTCTCGTGGCAAACATCGGAAGAAGGGCCACATGGCCAATCAGGACGAACGGAAGTCGATGACGCTCTGGGTTCCCCCCCAAAATCCCTTCCCGCGCACGTCGTCATTTGTCGTTGATCGAATGGCGATATTCACTCGAGCAGCAACGAAAAGACGCCGACCCGCGTATGCCGTTCGTCAAAAGCAAACTACATTCAGGATGTGCCTACGGTAGTTACACGCTTGAGGGATTAAGCATTGTGTCAGTTTAACGCTCAAACAAACACACTGACATCCAACATCCCAGCTGTCATGGACCAGCGTGATTCGGGAGAAGTTGCAAGTTCGACGATTTCGTGCTCCAACTCCCTCCTCCTCCACTACATACGACCATCAAATCCCTGCATGCGACCATCCGAAATTTTCATCCAGTATCGAAAATTTCTTCAACGGGCAATCTCCATCTTCGAATCATGTCCCAAGGTTCCAGCCCACTTTTCTCCAGCCAAGCACTTTTCCGAACTTTTCCCTACGGGATTTCCTGGGGACGCGGACGCTACTCCGTCGCTCCGGCATCCGTACCTGACAGTGTTAAACTGCTTGCCGGATTCGTTGTGCCTGGAAACGATGTTTCCAGAACTTTGGGGGATTCGCGACTAGTCGTCGTTAGTTCCCGTCTTGTGCAACGACGACGCCAGATTCAACCCTCCATAACATAGCTCCGAGTCAAGCAATCCTTCGTTTTGACTTTTCCCCCAATCTCGGTGACTCCTGAACCTCGAAGCGCCTGAAAAGACAAAAAGCCGTCTTTTTTAATCCTATGACACATACCGGCTGGTTTCGAGACAGTGCTAGCGAACGAAGGAAAAAAGCCTTAAAAAGTCTATTTTAACATCTTCTGTGCGATCAGATGACAGGCGGACGATATTCCGGGTGTAAGTTACTATGAGCCCCGTCCAGAAGTCCAATACAAGGGTGACCTCTGTAAGGCTTTCTTCTCCTTTTTGACTCGAGAAGCCCCTTTTCAGAGACCGATACATGATTGCCACTAGAACGATCATTCCAGTCCACGAAGAGGTGCCATGAAGAGAACCCTGTTCTCCGTACTCCGTAGCCATTCGTCAAGTGTGTGGATCTATTTTTGTGTACTCCGTAGTTCCAATTGCCCCTTTTCGATCGCGCGCGTCTCCTATTTACGTTGCCTCGCAAGCAGAATTATCGCCGCTCAATCATGTCCATTTCACCCAAGCGGTTAAATAATATAGCTCATCTCTATATAGCATGTGACGCTCTTACCGTTCTGACTGGGGAGAAGCTCTGACACAACTGATGTTGTTCAACCATGCTCGCACCCTGTTGGAAATATTCCTGTGTTACGAAGGACTTGCCAGCGCAGCGCCGATATGGAGCAATCAGCCCATGACACTTCCACCAACGTAGACCAGATGGCGTACACATACGTTTGTTGAGAGAATCATTTCAAAAGTTATTCTGAAACCAATTCCTCCGTACTCCGTAAAATTTAGAGACATCACGAGGCCGATTTACCTCTAAACCTTCGCCGCGGCGAGGCCCTCAGGCTGGCTAGCCCTACAGAAGGACTTTCGACGACCAAAAAGAACAAAACCCTATAAGAAAAAAGGGCTGAGACCTGAAATTCCTACCTGAAACCACTGGCCGGGGTTGAGGGGGTTATTGTTACGTTTTCGCTTCCCCCACTAATCAGAAATGCTCCGGAACCCCTAATTCTTCCCTTCGGCTATTCAAGGGACGAAAATCCTCTCTCTGATTTTTTTTTTTTTTCTTTCTCTTTCTCTCTCTATGCAGTCTCACTCATTCCCCCCCCCCAAACCGCTCTAAAAATAAAAAGCGGGAAAAAAAGAAACAGAGAAAAATAAATCCGAAAATTTCCGACCCATGTGACTGGGACCCGATCCCTGCGCTCAACCTCTAAAGAGACGGAGAATCAGGCTCCGTGCGATCCTTGTCAAGCTCGCGGAGATTTGCGTCGGTGACGTTTGGATGTTTCGACCTCCAGGCAATTATTTTTTTTTTTTTGCTTTTCTTTTCTTTTCCTTCCCTTTTCTCTTGTTGACAGTCTCGGGTGAACTGGATACATCGACTTTACATATAGGAGAGGACCATGCTGGATAGCAATGCGTCTCCTTGGGCGTATGTCTATATTGAATGACGAGGCCTAATAAGGGGTACTTGCAGTGGGCGCACTGCTATCATATCACTCAGAGCTTATAATAACCTCTCAACGCTTGCTTGCTTATTTATGTCTATGAGAAACATCCTAAAAAGATCCCTATCATCATACGTCTCTGTTGAAGAAGAAATCCACAAGCGAAAAGGAGGCACGGTAAGGGTATATACCACCGCTACCCACGCAAACAAAAAGAAAAAGGTCCTTTAAAATCAGAGAAGAGCTATCATCTGAACTCATCCATAAATTTCTTGTGGAAGGCCACGATTCTGTTCACCCAGTCGGTGCCAGGAGCCAAGAATGTCGTGCGGAAGTGGTACGTCCCCGGTTTCTGACCAAACCCGGAACCTGGGACGATGCAGACACCCGTAGCGTCAAGAAGACGGAGAGAGTAAAATTCATCGGGATGACGGCCTGCTGCTTCAGCAGCTGCGATGGCCTTCTGCGGAAGAGTAATGGACGGGAAAAGGTACATAGCGCCCTAGAAGGCAAATCGTGGTTAGAAGAACGCGCATCTCAATGGTTAATGAGGTCAAATGGAAGGGAAACGTACTGTTGGTTCCTGACATTCAACGCCTTCCATCTGCTTGAATGCCTCGTATAAGGCAGCGGCGCGCTGGTATAATCCGGTCGAGATGGCGCTGTACTCTTTCTGGTACAATTCATAACTCGGATCTCCTTCCCTTGGAGGATTGACCATCAGTTCGACAAGGCACTGTCCGATGACTGGCGGGCAGAGCATGACACTAATGAATTTGTACACCTGTTCCTCGACATCGGCATGGAATCCGACAAGCTCGAAGTAACCTCCTCGGTGGCCACATTCGCCCACCATACCCTTCGACACGCTGTGCAGCGATGCAAGCTCCACGTGGTCGTACTTTCCAGGAGATTCTTGCTGCAACTGTCGTAGTCTCTTCTTGAAGGATGTGAACTCTCCCTTAAAGATGTTTGTCTGGTAGACTTCATCGGCAATGATGACGAGATGTTCGTCGACCGCGAGGTCGATCACCTTCTTGACGGCTTCGGGGCTAAGACAAGCACCCGTGGGGTTTCCTGGGTTGATCACGACAATTGCGCGAACATCTGTGCCTTCTTCCTTGGCTTTGGCAACCGAGGCTTTGATCCCGTCAACATCTGTACCCCAGTTGCTTTCTTCGTCAAGGTAGTATGGAACGCATCTCGCGTTGAGAACGGCCAGCGTCGCGGTGTAAAGTGGGTATTGCGGGATTGGAACGAGCACCCCACTGTCATGGCCGGCACAAAGGATATTAAGGAGAGTGTTCACCCCTGACGACGCCCCGGCAGAGAGGTAAATGTGAGCGGGATCGGCGGGAAAGCCATCACGCTTTTCCATAAAATTAGCAACACTTTTGCGAACTAACGGGGATCCATGACTTTGACTGTAAGCCCCGACGCTTTGGACGTCCTTCAAAAGGTATTTCGCACGATCAATAACATCCTGCTTGTATCCAAACACCGACTTCAAAGTCTCTTCGTTCTCCAGCAACGGAGGGTATTCCATAAGACTTAGCACCTGGCGGAAGAATGTGATGGGCTTCTGATCTAGCTGCTGCGGGTTCCCGATATTGGCAAAGATGACTTTGTCGAAAGGCAGCGTATCGAGCTCCTGTTCCAGCTTGACCCTGTATTCTTCCGCCTTGACGGCCAATTCGCCACGGACTGCATATTTGGCAGCAAGGACATTCGGGTTTATATTTCCCTTATGAAGGCGACCAACTGGCAATGAACCCATCTTGTTGCCTGAGTAGGAGCGTGATGATATCCAAGGACCGAGGGAGGACGAGCGAGCGATATCTAGGGGTCAAGAATTTATACACAGTGTCAGTTGCTGCTCAAACAGAGGGTGACCGCGGGGTATGAAGGTTCTAGGGCAAAAGGAGCGGAATGGCCCGGATAATAATAATGCATGCCATCACCAGATCATGGCGCTGGGCTGCGGGGAGGAAACGTGGAGGAGAAAGTGCACCTCGTATTTTTATGCACAGAGGGGGAGCCACTGAAGAAAGACGACAAAGGGCCATACCTAGAACCGGGCTCGCAGAACCAGCTGCGAATCGTGTCAACGGTACCAATCGAGCTCCAGATAATACGCGCTCGCGGGGAGGGAAAGAAAGCGCAAAAGATCGAGTGTACCGGGGTAAGGGAGGCATGGCGAGGATTTTGGGTTCAGGGCCAGCGGAGAACTAAGCCAAATGACGGGACATAACCTTTTTTTTTTTTTTTTCCCCTCTCGTAGTTGTCTGGGGGTGAGTTGTCTCGGTCGCATTCCTCGCCGTCACGTTTGCTGCTCCATCGCAAATTCTGAGGGCGTCCACCACGCGGTTTTGACTTTGCGGTGGCTGTCTCGGTCGAGAATCCGAGACAAACTTTTGTTCACAGGAACGTCCGGCTATTGCAACATGTCGACCTGCTGCTACTTCCACTGAGTTTGGCGCTGGCTACAAGACAAATATATCTTCTCGAAATACGGAGTACCTCCAAACCAGTTTCGTCATCCTTATCATGCAAGAGGCCTGACCACAACCCGCATAATTTATGACTGTTCCTTGCCTTTGAATTCGGCTCAGATTCTGAATTGGAAACCCATGAACATCATCTATTGTTCGCACCTTACAGCAGATGGTAATACAGTACAAAAAATCGCTCTCTTATCTTTTCTGAACTGCATATGCCTTCCCTGAGCCAAACCCACGAGCTGGTGAAACATAGTCATGCATCATTAACCTCGTTCACTGCCTCTCATTCTAACAGCCTGGCCGTATTTCTGAAGCTTTGTGATTAGTGCATCGCCTTGCTTGACCACATCAGCATATTGCTTGTTCTTGTCATCTGGGCGATTGGTTTCAATTACACCATTGACCCGGTCAATTGTGCAAGCTATTCTATCACCAGCAATGAATTTGGCGAGATCTCTGTTCAATTCCCATCAGCATCAAGCACAGTTAATATAGTTCGGCAAGCGGTGATACGTACCTGTCAAGGAAATCTACGGTCACACCAAACTCATTCGCCATGCTGTTCAGGCCGACCACCCGGTAACTTTGTAGGAGCTGCTGATACCCTCGCAACCGCATTTCTCTAACAAACCAGGATCTATGCTCATGGAGGTAGCGGTCTTGGGTGAGAAAGTTATCTTCGACAGCGGCAAGGGCCGTGAAAAACGTGCGATATATGCCGTTGTAAAGACTACCGACAAGATTGGACAGTGGAGTAAAATCGACAGGTGCCTCGGTTTCTGCTTGTATGCCACTTCCAGTACCTAGCGTTGTGAGGTTGACGATGGTTGACGCTTGACCTGGGGTCGCGCTAGACGCATCCTTCATCTCCTCGTCTCCCGCACCGGGGCCAGACGATATCGCCCCCGTTAGCGCCGATAACCTGTCTTCTCCTTCACCCAGAATCGCCCTAATTTCTGGCGCGTCCACCACCTTAGCCTTGAAATCTACCCGCTTCAAGGATAAGGAGCCGGCAAGAACCGCATATACGACCAGTGACGAATAACTGCACAATTCGTAGCTGGTGAAAGTAGATAGGCTGTCGAGAAGAAGAGGCGCAGCTAGCTTATAGTTGCGGATCGTAAGCAAGTGTAAACCTTTGTATGCCTTCAGCCGGTTTCGACGATCCCAATCTCCACCGCCCTCCACGAGAGAATTGGCTCGTTCAATATGCTTTTTAACGAATAGTTTATCCCCAAAAAACAATCCAATCCGTATCATAGCGAGAACAAGGTCAATTTTTGTTCCTAGCACCCCGGTGTTTTCGAAGACGGCTTCATAGGCAGCGATGGCTTTGTCCTAGGTACACTCGGTATTAGTACGGACACAATTGCCAACAAGGTCAAGCGCAAATGTAGAGCATATCTCCTACCCGATCTCCAACGCGCGCCCAAAACTCTGCGCGTTTTCCCCGGGCGGCCTGAACCTCTGTGTCACCAGCAGCCTCTGCGGCCTCATCCTCCTCCTTCTGCAAAGCATCGAGCTCCTTCTTATTCTCAGCCACTAATCTCTCGTATAGCTTTTCATCCCAAGGAAGATCGACGGTCGCAGATGTTCGTGTTTGAGGGAGCATGTCACTTGCAACAACTGGCTTGTTGGAACTTGTACTCGTAGCTTGGGAAACGCCTTCGCCTGATTGATTTAAAATGCCCTCTACTGGGTGGGCTAGGTGACGGTACAGTGGGGCCATGTGTTTCTCTTCAATGGCGATTTGGAGCTTCTTCAAGGAGCCTTCTCGTAAGGCTGTCGGACATGCTGGATTGGCGAGGTTGAAGACATCCTGGGCGAGCGTGAGGTCGGGGTACTTCGCATACTGGGGATCGGAACCCATGACTGCCACCAAGCAAACTAACAGTGAACAAGAAAGGAAGGGGGGCGGAATAAGGAGAGAAAGAGTATCTGAAAAAGTGTGCTGTGTTGCGACGCTGAAGCTCTGTTGTCTGTCTGCCTCCAGCGTTGCGTGGAGCTTGAGCTGATGATGGTCGTCAAGGTTGCTAGCTGGTCTCGATTGGGACTAGCGTCAAGCTCGGTTGCCCAGCCCCAATCTGCAATGTTTTGCCGGTTGATGCGAGACTGTTTAAATGAACCACGTTTTTTCACAGCGATCGGAGGCAGAGGGGCAACGTAATATGAATGGAGATCCGGTTGCTATGCTCTTGATATGACACTAAGCCCCCCTCCAAAAAAAAAAAAAAAAAAAAAAATGAACACGTTGTCGAGCAGGAAACAACCAGCCCTTCCGGCCGCTGATATCTATTTTACTTACCTAGCTACGGAGTACAGTCCCAGAATGCCTACTCGGTACGGAGTACAACAAGATGCGAATGTCGACCATCCTACCTGGAAGGCCAATTTTGAAGACCATATAATTTAGCATCTTCTCTTCGAAACCCTGTTACCAAACTCATTCAATACGCCTCACCAAGCCGCATTTCGATTCCGATAGTTGAGACTGTCGACGGACGAGTTTGGTCTACTTTTTCCTAAATTAGAGCCCAACTGGCCACATCTACTCGCGTCAAAATGGATCGATTTTGGGGGTATATTTCAGCAATCGAGACTGGCCTCCTGCAGGAGCGCAACCTGCAGTTTACTGTACAGAAGGTACTCCGTACATACGCCGTAGTCAACCTCGCGCTAGCTCTCTGTGCTGTAAGGTGGCAATTGTTATTAAGCCTCTTCGGAGTCCTCTGTACCGACCGCGCAAATTATGAGGAACTCGCTAGAATGCTCCGGAATTTTGCGAGGCAGGCATGCTAGAATCAATGTTGCAGCCAGCAGGGACTTGGATTCCTGTCGAGGAGCGTCAATGTTCAAGCCGACCCGAGCGTCCACCATCCGAGTAGGAATCCTGGAGTTTTGTCATTTCTGCTTTCAACGGTCCAAAGCGTCTCAGAAAAAGAGTAGCAAGAATTTATGACTTTTACACTCTGAATTCAAACTGGATCCAAACAACCATCCTCCGGGTGTGCTTGGTTAATAACTCATGCCAAGTAACAAGTAAATGGAAACACATTGCCATTATGGGCACGCAGCGCAGTTCTCTGCTCAATCCTCCGTAATTCGAGCAACTCATACTCCGTACTCCGCGAAAGTGGTACTAATTATTGCTAATGCCTTTCTTCGCCCTTCTTTCTTTTACTCCGGTTTCTTAATAATCTTGATTTCTCAAAGCCAAGTGTTAGGTTGAGCCCCGATAGTCGGTCGGGAAAGCAACGAAAAATCGTGATCGGGAAAGGTTCCGGGCTCGGCATGTCTGAGTTTGGCTGACCTTAACGGATTAGCCCCTACCAAGCCCGGGCCCCGCGATGCTTAACTGCTCCTAAGGCCTTGAAAGCGGGCACCCTTGGCAACCCGCCCCTGCTTAACAGAACAACACATCCTCAGCTGCGATGATATTTTGCGATCGGGACCATGACCGTCACTCCTCCCCTCCTCAAAGGCTTGGTGGTGGGGGCATCTCACACGATCGTTCCCTACCCGTATCCGGACAAGCGGCGTTTTGGGAACCGTCTCGGAAGACTCCGGCCCATCAACCTGAGCGCCGTCCGCTCATGGGAAGCCGAACCTAAATACCACTCAACAACTTTCCCCCCAATCCCCGCTGTGTTGATGCGGAGGATCAGTATACAACCATGGGTCCTCGATAAGAGGCGTTTGGGTCTTCTTTAAACCCTCCCTGCCTTGTCGCTGCAGGTGATCGATCTACGATGATGAAATTCTTTCTCGGACTGGGGTCCGTGTCCGTGCCGAGAAACCTCAGATCAAGTTAACGAGCTACCAGACTCTGCGAGCCACTCCAATCCATGTTCCTGGTCCATTCAGTCGAGCCGCCCAATGACAGCGCTGCATGGATATGGAGAGCTGAAACAATGCATTCTTGTTCGTTTAAACTCACTTTTAGGGAGTATGTAGACTTGATCATAAGATGTGGGAGATCAACGCCACAGGCTATCGAATGTAGGCTCTTGGTTGGGAGAGTTCAAGCTAGCCAGTAAACCATCCTCCTCACCCCGGAGCTGACCTAAAGCCCTTTTCTCCATGATTCCAGGTTCTTTTTCCTTGTGCTTTTTATTTTTTATTTTTTACTTTTTTATCTTTTTTTCCACTCAGGGTAGTTAATACATGTTTCGGACTAATCAAGCTTATCAGGCCATGCTCCACGGTGAGTATAACGGTGAGCTGTTGGACAACGCTTCCTTCTTCTTTCTCCTTTTTCATCCCTCAACTATCTCTCTGTCTTTTTCTCCCCCACCCCTCTCTATCCATCCCTCCATCTCTGCTACCCCTCCTCTCAACGAGAGATTCGCGAAGGCAATCTGTGGTACCTGGCACCTTCAGAACACGTCGTGATTGGTCATGGCTACTACCAACGATGCAATATTGAGCCCTCAGCCTTCAAAGCCTGAAGAAAACACACCTTCAAAGACAGAGGAACGAATACAGGAACTCGAAAACACAGGCAAGTCACGCTGGGAGCGCAGTTGGCCAATCATTGCCTGTGGTGCCGGTCTCTTCTCTGATGGGTACCTGAACAACGTAAGCAGCTCTTTTCAAAATATTATACACAGCACTCGCTTTTTTTTTTTTTTTTTTTTGGCGAGTGAGAAGGATATATTGTTAAACACGCGTATAGATTATCGGGTCTGTAAACACCGTTCTTAGAACGCTATATCCGGAGGCCTATGCGAACTCGACAGCGGTTAAAAATGTTCCGTCCATCGCTTTCGCCGGGACAGTCGTCGGTCAGCTCATTTTCGGGTATCTGAGCGACCATTATTCTCGAAAATGGTCGCTTATGATCTCCACCGTTCTTCTTATCGTTTTTGCCGCCCTCTCAGCCGGATCCTATGGCGCCGGAGGAAGCCAGTCGGGACTCTTCGCAGCCCTCACAGCATACCGCTTCTTCCTGGGCGTGGGCATCGGCGGGGAGTACCCGGCAGGTAGCGTCGCCGCCGCGGAGAGTTCTGGAGAGCTCAAAAGGGGTCACCGCAATCGTTGGTTTATCATGTTTACCAACTTTCAGATTGATTTTGGATTCGTCGTGTCAGCTTTTGTGCCCATGATTCTTGTCCTTATCTTCACCGAAAACCATCTGCGGGCTGCATGGCGCGTGATGTTGGGTCTGGGTGTGATTCCGCCATTGAGCTTGTTCTATCTGCGATTGAAATTGAAGGAGCCCGAAGAGTTCAACCGAGAAAGGATGCACAAATATCCTATTTGGCTGATTGCCAAGTATGCCAATCCCCCCTCGCGGCCTTTACAGAGCAAACCACAGTCCCTATTTTTCCTATTATGAATAATCTGCCGCTGACTTTGCCGTAGGTTCTACTGGTGGAGACTTGTAAGCAGATAATCCATAGGACTCCTATAACCGGCCCTAATAACTCACTGATCGAGTAGTCCCTTGTCTCCTTGATCTGGTTCATTTACGACTTCTCGGCATATTCGTTCGGAATCTACTCATCGGTTTGGTTGAAGATTGTCCTTGCTGACACTGCTCCGATGTGGAAAGCTTTTGGCTGGAACACACTCATCAATGTTTTCTACATTCCGGGCTCAGCGTTGGGAGCATGGGTAAGTGACTGGATCGGTCCACGGTACTGCCTGGCTCTGGGTGTTGCTTCTCAGGGCGTCATCGGGTTCATCATGGCTGGGTGCTATAAGTGGCTTGCTACGTCTGAGAATGTAGCCGCGTTTGTTGTCGTTTACGGGTAAGAATTGTTCTGCCGGAATGATCTATTCATAGGGAGACTAGCACTGACAGTAAAACTCCCGTCCTAGACTCTTCCTGTCGTGTGGAGAACTTGGTCCTGGAGATAACATTGGCCTGGTGGCTTCCAAAAGCAGTGCAACCGCCATTCGAGGTCAGTATTATGGAATTGCGGCCGCCTTGGGTAAAGTTGGGGCGTTCGTGGGGACATATGTCTTTCCTATCATTCAAAATAATGCACCAAACGAAATTCGCGCTGGGCAAGATCCGTTCTTCGTTTCTAGTGCGCTCTGCTTGTTTAGCGCAGCGCTGTCAGCCTTTTTACTACCCCATATTGGACAGGTAAGGGGATTCCCCGTTTAAGATGATGCATCCGCTAACATTATCCCCGGGGTGTAGGACACAATCACGTATGAAGACATCCGGTTCAGGAGATATCTCGAAGAGAATGGGTATGATACGAGCACTATGGGTAACAGGAAGCAAGAAAGGACCGAGGAGAAAGCTTAGTCAAGAAGTGACATATTGAGCGCGGGGTTTGACGACAAATTTTCCAGGTGAAGTAGTGGAAAATATCTGGTTAAGCTGTCGGTATAGTTAAATATCCACCCCAAATTTCACTTAGTTAACGGCCTTCTTCGGTCGAATCAACTATGAGTTAGTGGAATGCGTTCTCTTTAAAACATGCAAGTTAGTAGATGCGACAATGTCGAATATTTACTGTAAAAGCCACAGTGAAGCAGCCTAATCACATAGAGGCCATAGGAGATACTCGCGTTCCAACAATCCCAAAAGGCATTCATTCCGGGTGTCGCGCCGTCGCCGCCCTGAAGCTGCAAGTGAATACCGAGGCGGAGTGCCGAGGTTATTTATCACGTGCCTGCTCTCCTGAAGCAGAGGCGACGGGACGACTGCTTCGGATCGTTAGCGATCCTCAAAGATATCGACCGGGGGTGGGTGTTCTTTTTCTCTTCTTCCATCTTCAATTTTCTAGTATATCACTGGTGATTTTCCTCGACTTTCCCATCTGTCTGGGTCCCGAAGTTAACGAGGTCGACGATCATCCTCCCGACGTTGGCGACCGAGCGAATCACAAGCTAAGCTATTTAACGTGTCCGTTCCACCAAGAGTTGCAGAGCGACTCCTTTCCTCCAACCCGATCGTTATTCCTGGACAAGAGAGGGAGTAAAACGCTCTAACACACCGTCAAAATGGTCGCTGTTGCGCTGGCTTA